CCCGGGGACATATGTCCCCCCCCCCCCGCCGCCCCCCCCCCTCGCTACGCCTCTGCGCCGTACTGAACTCATTGTATCATAATACCGTACCTCCACGGAGATAGCAGATCTGTCCTTAGGCTTGTTTCCGTGTTGGAGTTTAGCCCCCTAAATGTTACCGGAAATTACATTTTAAAAAGCGCAACTGCGCACACGCATAAAATGGAATTAATTAATTAGAAGCCCGTGTCAACAATCTGGAGACTAAAACAATAAACAATTACAAAATCCATTAACCAGTCACGCAGCCTATCCCAATTTCCTAAACAAAATTAACATCCATCAAATCATCAAACCCTCCTAAACAAAATACCCACTCAAAATCTTCATTCTTCGTTAACAAAATCATCTACGCATAGTCTTAATCCCTCCTATATTCAAATCTATTCAAAACCTCAATCCCTTCTCAACAAAACCACCCCTCGAAAATCCTCAATCACTCCTCACCAATATCACTCAAATTCCTCCTATACTATTAACACCGATCCCCACTCCCCCTACCCAACACTATCCACTCCACTTCCGGTTAACTTTTAGACTCTCCCATCACTGTTTCATCTGGATAATGTGCCTGACAGGTTCAATTTCACCGTGGTATTATCTCCCTTCATTTCATCTGCCCAGCGTTTTAGTTTTTCAATCCTACACCAAGTTTGGGAAACACCGCGGCAATCAACGCATTGTTTCGGGAATTAGATCACCCTCGGATGTAAATTGACGAAAGCAAGATTAAGCTGGAGATGAAGGGCCGAAGCAGAAGGCAGAAATTGAATGTCGTTTTGAGGGTAGATTGGGCAACATAAAAACCGGGCGGTAATTGAGTTTTTTTTGGGGAGATGGGATTTGTACAACGGAAAATTTTGGGATGTATAGGATAAAACAACGGCGGGGTAAAAACAGAAATGGGATAACATTGATAGGGTGAATATATTATCTGTAGTTGGGAAAATTGGGAAGATGTAACGTGGGATAAGGCGGAGATTTACCATAATGTTTTGGTTGTTGTTACGTAGATTGGGATGTAGACATCAGGGCTGGCTACGTGGAGTAGCATTGACCAACTCCATCGTCTAGTTCGTTTGTTGGTTTTGACTTTATCCTTAACATCTAGGTAGCACTGTTTTCAAAGTACTTATATGTACTGTGTTAACTATGAACACGATTACATTTCTCTATCCATCATGTCTACTAAACTCACTGTACATCGTCAAGTCTTCATATATATATATATATATATATATATATATATATATATATATATATATATATATATATATATATATATATGATATATATATATATATGATATATATATATATATATATATATATATATATATATATATATATATATATATATATATATATATATATATATATATATATATATATATATATATATATATATATATATATATATATATATATATATATATATATATATATATATATCATATATATGGGAATTTAAAACATCCCCACTACCAGTTCATATCGATGCCACTGGCTAGGTATGCCCGAGCAAAACACATCTAAAACCAAACGTTGTACACACCAATAAGCTCCGGTTAGGAATGACCAATCTGAACACATCTTAAATCTCTATTGATTTTCACTGTGAAAAATATAAATTAATTCGCATTTCCTACTTAATTTACATTTTTTTTCCTTTAAAAAAAAGAAAACGGATAGTCCCTGTTGAATTGACCTGATTAAAAAAAAACAGGGGGGGGGAGGATTCAGTGTAGAAGTACTTCCAGGGAGATTATTCAAGAGCGGCCGCTGGCCAGTGTGAGTGTCTTCCAGACCGAGAATTAACCGGGTCTCGTCTTAACCACGTCCAGTGGTTTTGTGTTACCCGGCACTCCAGAGCAAGCTAAATATGTTAATCTCAAAGTAGAGAAACTAATACGCGTCAGGGGAGGTAAAAATAATTGGGAAAAAAAAGTAGGTTTTTTTTAAAAAAGTTCCTTTTACGATTTTATTGTCACGCAAGCAAGGGAAGTAAATCCTGTAAGAGGATTCGATTTTTTTTCCTTACTTGAGATTGAAAAGAAATGTACATCAATGTAATTCCTTTTTTTTTAAATAAGAGATATGCATTTTTAAAGATTTTTTGAGTAATCTAAAATGCGTATTAAAGTGCTGATGCAGTATCGTGTGAGTTGGTCGATGTTATATAAAGCTTAAGAGTAGTTATTGAGGGTTCTAATGTGTATAGCGGGGTTAAAGTATCCGAAATAGTTGTATTTTACTATCGTATTTAAAATATCCAAGTCATAGTTAAAACATCCAGTTCACTTCGTTTTATGTCGTTGTTAATGGGCTACACGCTTTAATCTTGGTTAGATATCAAACTCACGTCTGATGATAATCATGATGATAATCTATAGGCCGTTAATAGTACCGTCGGATGTAGTTATGGCGTTTACGTCATGATGTCACCCACACCCCCTTGTAATAAAATTATCTTTTTCTACTTAAAAGACGATTTAACTTTAATTGTTGTATATGTACATTTTGCAATTTTTTGCATTGCCGTCGCCGCCCCGCCCTCGCTACGTCTCTGCATGATGTAAAATATCAATGTGTATATTAGTTAACACATTGAAATGTGGTAGACTCTCTACTCTTTGTCAGTTACGAGTATTAGAAATATGCAAATCTATATTTAATATGATTTACGTCAGTTAGTTTGCCCCACCACGGCACGGAGCGGATTGACGAGATGGGCTGGTAGGGTCGCAGGTAGAGGCCCTAAATTATCAATTTTCGATATTACGGTTTTTGTTTTGTTTTTATAATAACATTATTGCAGATAATTTTTTAAGTGCCCGTTTTAGTTTAATCCGATCGTGACTACTAAGAGGTTAAGCAATACAGTGTAAGCGAGCGCAGCATGACGAGTATACACACCACGCAATCACGAGAATAGACCACACACCATCACCTACCATGAAATATTATAAAAATAAAGCTCTTAAAACGCCAACACCCACAACCTGTATTAGTCAACCCATTTTATCAGCGCTTTCCCTCCACGTAAATGTTTTTTCCGGGTAATTTTTAATTCCCTCCCCGTAGGTATTTGGTGTGTGCCACGCCCCCCTAGTCGACCAATCACCTTCCTCCGCCCCCACCCCCAGAAATGAGCTCGGAGCTTAACTAATTTTCTCTAGATCGCTATAGCTGCAGGTGGTATTCAAGTCTGGCCCGTCTGGTAATATTTGCAGTTCAACGATAATTGATTTTTTTTACCCGGTATTGGTAATTTGTTTTGGTACGAATACGCGCATGCGCTGTGTGACATTTCCGGTTAGGATAATTTGTGTTAAGTATGTTATTTTTCTTAGATATTTTTTTGTATTGCATTGATAGTTACGTATTTAGAGAAAATAAAAAAGAACAAATAAAACGAGCGTACTAATTTTTTTTTTTCAATATGCCAGTAAAGTTTTTTTTTTTTTTTGGAAACTCCGATTGTTCATGGATACTGGTGTCAGAATGATGTCCATCTGCTCTTTTAATCACCAACTTCATTCAGGTACTCAACACAGCTGAGTGGACTCAGTGGCACCCTACAGATTCGAGCCTTGCGGTTAAACGCGTGCGCTACTACTCGACCATACCATTCCAAACAAACGTTTCAATCACACTTTCAAAAAACAAAAACAAAAACAACACAATATTTATTTTTAAATGGCATGCACAATCAAGGGAATCAACTCTAATACTCCCAAGGGTAATTAAAACGCTTAAAATAAATGCAAGGATCGGCTTAGCATTACGTTTCCCTTAGCATGCCATGCACAGATGCATACGGCATGTTCAAGTACCATCTAATCCGTTTTCCATCCTCTCATTCTCATGTTCTCTGATCCACTTTCGTATAAAGCAATAATTACTTCCCCTATTTTTTTCAAACAGCCTTACCGCCCTTAGATTAAATTAAATTAAAAATAATAATATATTACAAAAAAATAAAATCGTATCGAAATAGAGCTCACATTCGTGGATAAAGTGTTCTGTAAAAAACAAGTTGCTTGGTTTGGAAAGCTCTGTAGATTACTGCGGGGTTTTGCCAATAAGAAATCCACCCCTTTTAATTAATCCTTATAACATCATTAATTTATCTTTATTCACCACGCAGCGAACCCCCTCGTGCATTTCATTTATATTTTTTTTTAGTTTATTTATTCCTTGCCCCGCCTTTTTCCATAAAAAATAAATCTCTCCTGATTTAAATTTAAATCTTTATCCATAATTAAAATCTTATTTAACTTGCAGATTGCATTTTTTTTGTGTAATCTCCCTTTAAAATTTGAAAAAAAAAATTGTTTCGTTAAATAGGAAGCACAGCAAGCACAGATTTGATTTTTTTAAACTTTAAAAAATATTTTTTTTTTGTTTCTTGCATAATTATTTCATTAACTATTGCTATGAGTGATTCTTTATAATACCTTTTTATCAGATTATTTTTAAAATATTTACAGTATTAACTTAATAATTTATCTGCTAAAATAAAATACACACTCACGTCAAGGCCAATTTTTAATGCTTCTAAACACTCAACAGTAAATCTTTCAAATTTCTCGAAAATTACATATCTTGATCTGTAATTATATTTTTTTTAAATAGTTGATATAATATCGGGGTAAAATGTTTCTAAGTAAAATCAAAAGATATGGCTTTTAAAATCTGGAAAAATATCTGATAAGCAAAATTAAAAGACATGGCCTTGACCTTCAAGTCAGCTGTACCTGCCTTACACGATAATACCTGTCTTCGTGCCCGGCATGTTAACTATTCCAGTATAATATATGCATTTAAAAACCTGGCAATCTTTATTCTCTAATCCAACGCTTTGTTCTTTAAAAAAAAAAAAGCTTTTTGCTTTAAAAAAAACGCTTTCTCCTTTCCGCATCCTGCACACCCTCCCTCCCCCTTATCCTCCATATCCAGACCCGTGTGAAGGTCACGTCTGCGAGTCACCCAAGATCTGCCAGATCAACGCCCAGCGAGAACCCGAGTGCCGCTGTAGCTTCGTCTGCCCCAGCGAGCTGAGCCTCGTCTGCGGGACTGACGGCCGAACCTACAGCAACCAGTGCCTTCTGAGGAAGCAGGCTTGCAAGTCCCGCAAGGAGATTCGTATGTTCTATGCCGGCAAATGCAGCCCAGGTACGTCATTTTAAAACAAAAAAAAAAGGATGCCAAATATCGTGACAGCATGAATATGGGGGAGAATATTGTTATAGATTTTTGTGTTGATTTCATTTTTGTGTGAATGTTATATTATGATTGCGATTTCTTTTTCTTTGTTTGTTAAAATACTTTTGTAATTGTAATGGTATATTTTGTTCTTATTTTTCTTGAATTGGTTTGCTTTTTTAAGTATTAGAAGAAAATTTAAAAGCACTATACAAAAGCGAATGTGACATTATAGGCCTTTAGTTGTTTCAAAGCTAAAATATGCGCTCATTAATTGAATGAATATATTTGATTAAAATGTTATGTTTAAAAAGTATTAATGTTGATAGTAATTTACGAACAAACTTTTACATATAGAATAACTCCATGCTACTAAGCAATTTTTTTTAAAATAACTAGAATTCTAAACAATATCTATTATGAAAATTGTATCTTAAATTCTATTATGTCAAATATAGAATTTAAAACAACAATTATACTTATTTTTTACTTTGTATATGTACAATATATTTAAAAAATAATGCAGACATTTTTTTTATATTTTTTTATTATAATATTTTCTTTAGTTATTGCTTATTACAATTAACGTTTTCCTTTGAGGTAAATAATTATTATTTTTTTGGAAAATTGCTTTCTTTGGGGAAAAACAGTTTCATTTTTAACTCTAATTTTTTTTTTTTTTTTTTTTTTTTTTTTTTTGCAAAAGATAAATAATAATAATTATAAAGACTAAAAAACAACTTTTAAATGTACCTGTGAATTGACTGTTCGTGAGAATCAAACACTGCTTGCTGATAGTGCATGGTTGGGCTCCTGTGTAGTACTATGTTGCTACCAAACCCTGTTGCTACCCAACCCTATGATTAACGAACCCTGCATGAGGAATGACATTTTTGTGTTTACGAAGTAAAATGGCTGCCGGCTATTTCTGTTTGCCATAATTATTTCCCTTTTTTTCTCTTTTGCTTATTATCGTAAATTTATTTTTTCTCTAAAATCTATTGTAGGCCTAATTTGTTTTGGTTCTTTTTATTCTTAACTGGTTTCAAATTGAAGGGTTTTAAAATTAGTCGTTTTAACTATACTCTTATTTTATGCACTTATATATGATATAGATAACGGTAATTATAGCAACGTAAATCATTTTTAAAATGTATATTTATTATTTATGTAATATTTTAAGAGCTATTATAAGGATCTAGGATTATATGTTATAATATACAAATGTATAATACAGATAAAAGTATGGTGTCATCGAAATACAAGATTAATTGTAATTATTTTTTTTTTAATAATTATAATTTTATGAAAATTTTCTTACCAAAAAAAAAAGATTGTTCAATATTGGCAGTTTTTTTTTATATCTTGAATGTTTTTACTAATTACTTTGGTCATTGAAATGCACTCGCTACTGAAGGATTAACCATCATTAAAGGCACTGTAAGAGATGAGTATAATAATATTGATCATGGTAAATGACACTTTGGCTTTCCATACACTTTAGTTTGTTTTCTAAGCACTGTATTTTTTTTTATTTGTTAACAAAACTGATTCCTCTTTGCTTAAAAATAAGGGAGGGATTTTTTTTAAAAATGTGAATACATTATAACTTAAACATAAAAAAATGTATTAAAAGATGCTGTAAGTGTAAGCATTAATCTCTCGGACGTACTAATTACCGACCTAACCATTAGTGACTGGCATGTGCCAGTAACCGAAATAATTCAATACAATTAATTATTGGTAAGTCACGAAGTTTCGATATTTCCTGTCTCAAATTATATTTGCTTTGGGGTTTAGTAATTTAAAAAAAATATATATATTATTGCAGGAAAATAATGTTTTGAAAACTGTAGCAGTAGTTGTTTTTTTTAAACGTACATATCGCAACGCTAATATTAACTGGGACTGGAGGGGGCAGTTCAGAACTATTTAGAAAGTTAAAAGAAAAATTAATATCAACATTTTTCGTTTTAAATAATTGCACATTCGTCATTCCATTTCGAAATTTGTAGATATATTTGAGACGAAGTTGCTTATCATCTGTTTTTAAACCGATGTAGGCTATATATATATATATATATATATATATATATATATATATATATATATATATATATATATATATATATATATATATATATTTATTTATATATATATATATATATATATATATATATATATATATATATATATATATATATATATATATATATATATATTTATATATATATATATATATATATATATATATATATACAGAGAGAGAGAAAGATGCGAAATATAGAAAGTGTGGGATTCTCCACGAACAGTGAACACATGTTAGTGGTCGAGGATTTACAAGATGGCCCAAAGCCACAATGACCCAGACAATTTAAAGTGCCCCTTAAAGCGTCAGGCGGATCGTTAAATGGTTCAATAGGTGTCAAGGAAGTGTCCTCTTCACTTGCTGTTAATATAGGCCATGGAATCAGTATGTACCAGAAGTACTATCAAATTCAATGATGTAAAATGGAATGTCAAGATGTTATATATATATATATATATATATATATATATATATATATATATATATATATATATATATATATATATATATCCCCGTCTGTGTGTTTGTGTGTGAATGAGTATGAAATTGCGGGTGTTTTTATGTTAAAAATTAAAGTCTTCTAAGGATTAATCTTTAGACCTAGCGATCCATTTGGTGGTGTGATCAGCACTTTGCTAGGCTGGGTGGATTCAGGGACCCCCTACGCGATTTTTATTTGATGTGCAATAATTCTAGAGAAGTATTTGGAGGAGTGGTACATCATTCTATCACTTCTTCATCCGAGTAGATAAAAAAAAAAAACATAAAATGATAGTCCATTTCCGATTTGTTTCTTGGCAGAAATGAACCCGTAATGAAATGGAAATAACAAAATCATCACTCCACAATAATCAGCTATTATCTGGGCTTTTAAAAAACATGGAACGTAATAGCCATTGCAAGAAACATAGCGAAACTTAGAGGAATCAGTTCTTTTGTAAACACATTGTTTCGTTTGCCAAAGTGGAAATCATATTTTTTACGTAGCATCATCATTTTGTTTTGAAATTATCTTCCCTTAAATGTGCGTAATATTATTTTTATATTATTTCTTTTTAATTTTTAAAACGTTATTTTTCATGTACATTGTGCTCCATGTTAAAATTTTCATAGGCCAATATAAAATGTTATATATATTGACTGTTAATTGTTAAAATTAAAATATCCTGCCTACAAGCTACACATAATATTTCACTAACATATTTTACACACTATTATCACAATGATATCTTTGGAAATATCTTTTTTAAATGTTTTAACTAGTTCATTTTAAATAAATGACACATGTGATGAATTATTCGGGAAAGCAGCAAATAGCAATGTAAACAGAAAGTGTTATTTCAACGCCAAGGGTAGACAAAGGTACAGAATATAGTCCAAGTTAAGACAGAACAGACAGACCCGACGGGTTCCGAACCTACCACTCCTCACGGCACCGAATCGCCTCGCCTTCCATGCATCAAGTCAGACGTGTAACCGATTCTGCCAATCAGCTCTACAAAAATAAAGCTTTAATGGCAGAGCACAATCACAACCTATGCACGAAAGACGCATGGAAGGCGAGGCGATTCGGTGCCGTGAGGAGTGGTAGGTTCGGAACCCGTCGGGTCTGTCTGTTCTGTCTTAACTTGGACTATATTCTGTACCTTTGTCTACCCTTGGCGTTGAAATAACACTTTCTGTTTACATTGCTATTTCAGTCACAACGCCTGCTTCCACCCCTCACCACATTCGGGAAAGCAATAGTTCAAAGAATTTTAATGAATTTTTTTTCACGTTATCCATATGTAAAATGTGGGCAAAACACTATTTTTATAATGTATCACTTATGAGAGCATTTTTTTTTAATTTGATCACACGATACCATACTTTTATCACTTTATGTTGTATGTGCATGGTTGTTGTGAAATGTAATATTTGATGTTGTAAACTGTATCACTGTATTGAACTTAGAGTTGTTTCATCTTGAAATCACATGTTTAGCAGTAGTTCTCAATCAGGGTACTCTTTCCTAAGTTGTAAAAAAGAAATTATCAAAACGTATCCTTCGTTTTTCTTTTGAAACTTAACATAATGTCTGCATTATTGTAATGTGTGACCAGTTGCTTCTGCAGGATCGGATTATTAACTAGGTTGAGGTAAGACAAAATATTGAGAACTGCTGAATTTTTTAAAAGTTGAATACGATATATTTAGTGTATTAGATGTTGTGTATTCATCTTTGGTTGATATTGGTTTTATATTGGTAGTTTGTTCCCTTGATGTTTAAATTTCGATGTTTTTAATGTCTTGCTTCAAATTCGTTTTATCTTTTTTTTTAAAGGCGTAGGCCTATGTGTAGGCCGGACTAAAATTATATAACATTTATTTTTATACAAAAGTTAGGCCTATTTATTATTTTTGGCAAATCAATACATCTAAATAAAAAAAAATTAGAATCTAAAAACTAAAAATAAAGGACATTCTTTATATTTTACTTTGAACAATAGCCTACATATTATTACCATTAAAATCATGGGTGAGGAACTAAAACATAAACGTTAACATTATTGTAGATTAGCATGCATTATACATTATTATTTTTTATTTGATTTTTCCATTCAAAGCACACAAAAATAACTTCTAAAGAAATTTATTTTCTTTTTTTTTTGTTATCATTTGTTTCAGATCTAACGTTTTTTACCAGATAAAAATTCAATTTGCTAATGTGATCTCTGGTGCTTCACCCGAATACATTTTTCTCCTCAGTAATTGTGTAAATTATGTCTCTCGTGTTTTTGTATGCTCTTGTTCCCATGGTTACGTTAGCTGACGCGTAAATCCTTTCACTTCTTTCATTTCTCTTGCAATAATGACGCTTTCAAAAGCTTAACTAGCTCATTTAATTTAATACAACCTTGCTGCCTATTCGTATATTTGCATGTATTTGTATCCTTGAAAATGGCTTTTGTTTTTAAACAGACGACATTCGAAACCCTTTTACAAGCTAGCTCTGTAGTTTAGGCCAAGGTCATACTAATTTTTTTCTTTTTTTTTCCTTTAGGTTTTAGTAATATTTAAAAAAAAAAAGACTGATTAAGTAGTTGTATCATAACAGCTTACAATGTTTATTTTCTAAATTAAGAAAAATGAGTCCAGATGGGGTTACAGTTTAAATAACGTGTATTATTCAATAAAAAAATAATACTAAAACAATAATGGGGGAAGCGAACGTTATTTTTTATTTTATTTTTTCCTAAAAATTTAGAGAGGATTTTGAGCCCCTTAAAATTATGTAAAAAACAAGTGTTAAGAACCCTCGATACGCCACGGGTTTAGACTAGTTATCGAGAGCTAGATTTCTACCATCCATTTTCCAAACCAGGCCTACTAATTAAACACAAACTTTCTGTTGTTTTTGTATTTCAATCTACCCCAGCCCATTGTGGTATATATTAAAGCCTACTCACTCAAAACAATGCCAAATTAGAAAATGAGTAACTTTTTACGCCTAGCCTACTAATTTCTAAAAATCAAAATTAATTTTTACAATCCTAAGTGTACATTAACCGTTTGAAATAACTCAGTGACTTACGTTAAAACATAAATTATGGCTGTGTATTTAAATAATTTCAAAATATAACTTAGATTCAAAATTTTAAAATAGTTAATTATATGATGTATATAGATTAATTCTAATATTTAAATTTGTATTCAATATTCTTTAAAAAATTAATTTACCGTCACATATTTTTATGCCTATGTTTTATTTATCTGTCCACCCGTCATATGCTGACTTGCCAGATTGAACTTTCCACTTTCAGAGAATAATCCTTGCAGCCAGGTTCAGTGTGGCCCCGAGGAGGAATGCACGGTTGACAGATCAGGGCGACCGACGTGCGTGTGCCCGCCCCCGTGCGAACCCGTGCTGCGGAGGGTGTGCGGCAACGACAGCACCACCTACGACAACGAATGCGAGCTCAGGAGAGCCTCGTGTTTGGAGAAGGTGCCCATTAGCGTCAGGCATCCGGGGCCTTGTGGTGGGTTGTTTTTTGTTTTGTTTTTTTGGCTAACTGTTGTGAACAAGTTGGTCGAGGGGGAGGGGGGGGGGGGGGCAGAATTCCTCTCAGGCATCATTCTACAACCTAACCTAATCCCTAACTCCTAACCACTAACCCTATCCCTGGCCGCAGACCTTTAGCCCTACCATAAACATTACCTTAGTGTGTGGTTTATTGGTAGGACTATGTGCAGGATCTATTTGTAGTCGACTGGGAAAGGGGGGGGGGGAGGTTTAATGGAATACTCCAGGTTTGTGGTTGAGGGTAAATATACAGATTGGGGTGTGGGGTAATTCTTCTCGGGATAATGTCGTGGGTGGGTGACTAGGGTGGAATAGATAGGGGTAATGTCCTGTCCCCAAACATCCTGCTGCCTGAGCAACAAGTAAATCCTTATTCTATTAACACGGATATCCAGAATACAAGAAAACATTGTTTGGCATGTTACTAGGCCTACTAGGTACCCTGTTGTCAACACAATAAATAATGTAAAACAGAGGCGTAGCGACCCCTCCCGGCGCCCGGGGACAATTTGGCGCCCTCTCCCCCAACCCATATATTTTTTATGCTTATAATTTAAAACTGCAGCTAAAATGAGCTTTTATTTTTTTTTCCAACCCATTTTAGCCTCCCTAGGGTCGGCGCCAGGGGACGTATGTAACCCCTCCCCCCCCCCCTCGCTACGCCTCTAATGTAAAACAACCTAAACAACAAACACCAAAGCCAAGCTCAGGGAATGACATTCCAACGTGACTTTATACTGTACGACGCGACTACTCCTGATGTTTACCAAAACGTGATTAAAAGACATCTCACTAGCGATACGGGACACTACAGAAAACAAACACACCACATTAACCCTTTCATCCCCATTGAATACACGAATCAAATACATATGAAATTAGAATAGGGTTAAGCGAAAGAGAGAGAGCGGAACGAATATTGCAGACAACATTATATAACAATAACATTAATCATCACCGCCACGCACCAGTCTGTTCTATAACTATAGCACAGTATAAATGATAAACCGCCCCACCCTTTCGTGTTTTGTTTAATGTGTGCGATCTCTTTGGGGTCGTCCATAAACTTCGTCACATTCCAGGGGTTCTGAATTGTGTGACCATGTGTGACGAGTGAGAAGTAAAAAAAAACACTGCTAATTTGATAGAGGTTGAAGGCTGAGGGGTGACGTCATTTTAGACGGGGAGGGGGGGGGGGGAGGACTGGAGAGGTTATAGCTGTTTGTGACGATGGAGGAGGGGGGATTATGTGGGTGACAAATCGTCAAAAAGGCTTTAAGTTATTTATGGACGCCTCCCCCCCCCCACCCTATTCATCCATATAATTATATATATATATATATATAATTATATATATATATATATATATATATATATATATATATATATATATATATATATATATATATATATATATATATATATATATATATACATATATATATACATATATAGACTATATTTAACAATTTTAAAAAGTGCCCCCCCCCCCCACACTAGTTGGAAAGGTTGGTGGCGCTTTGAATCAGTCACTATCCCGTAACAGTTTTAATTTTGGTGCCTCACAATTGATAAACTGTTAAAACAGTCCGTAAAGCTAGTTTGCAGTCTATTTTCTTAAACTTCGACTGTGTATAATTCAGTTATACAGCTGTGAATGAGTTTTTTTTTCTACCCCGTTTGGCGCCCTCTTAGGGTCGGAAGCCGGTTACGCCCCCGGGTGATTCCATAAACAGCTGATATAATATGAATAGGACTTTTTTATAAATTAAATCATTTCTTTTAGTTTACTTTAAAAAAATAATCTAGATCTTGATATACATTGATTTAAAAGAATTGATCCTATAGGGACCTAGGCCTATTTCTCTATTTGACTTTGTTAATTTTTTTAGCGCCAGCATATTCGATGTTTTTGTTTACTCTTTTTATAGAGAGCTCTTCTTGACTGTAATATTCCATTGTTTATCCAGGATTTGATACAATCTGCCATGATTTGAACTGCCGTTATGGGTCTGAATGTAAAGTTGTGAATGGCAAACCAAAGTGTGTTTGTCCCCAGTGTACAGAAGAATTTAAACCTGTAAGTCCCTTAGAAACGTTTGTTTTTTAGTTAGATCTAGATCTAGTTAAGTAGATTATTATTAGAGAATCTATTTGCTGGTTTAATAAATTTTTATTTTTTCGGTACATCGAGTCTGTCCACTCCTCAGTCTCATCAGTCAGTACTCAGTACTCATCAGTGACTCAGTGTATTGAATAGTGAACTCAACTCTACTGTGATACTACTGTCTATGATATAGATCTAGATTCTAAGCCTCATATTAAATATTATGTCTAGTACTAGATCTAGATCTATTCTAGTAAAACTAGTTCTAGATCTATTGCTTTAAAAAACTTAACTCAAAGTGAGTCAGTCTTAATCTTAATTTCTTAAGTGGCTAAGTCTAGACCTAGAGACAAAGAGTAAAAATAATTTTAAAATAATAGTTGTCTAAGACTGTACTTAAGACAAGAGTATCGTTCTGGCTAGGGATACAAAAAATATCAACAAATATTAATTAGCCTATATAGAATCTATTTTTTTTATATAGTTAGTCTTTATTTCCATTGGAATTGGTCCATATTAGTTCTGAAATCATATACAGGTTTTTTGCAACAAAAGCAGCTTAGTAAGCTATATCTGTCTTATTACCTATATTTAAAACCGTATAAAAATTGAAACATTCTAAAAAGCAGATTTTTTATTCACAAGGTCTGTGGTGACAACAGTATAACCTATGGGAATGAGTGCAAGTTGCGGCAAGAAAACTGTCAAAGAGAGGAACATGTTAAGATCAAGAAGGAAGGTTCATGTGGTATGGTGCATTTTTAACATAAGTTATAGATGTAAAGGTTTTTTAAAAATTTCAATTTCGTTTCTTTTAACCTGTAGAGCAATCAGTTCAAGTTTTGCAGCAGTACTGAGAATCTTCAAGAAATGTAGAATTGTTCACAATGGTTGACATGTGTAGGCCCCTAACCAAATAAAAACATAACAGCAAAGGGCATTCCCATTTAACTGAATTAAATTTTCATGGAAAAAAAAAATCTGTCTTCCACAATGCTTAACCCTCTCCCACCTAAAGGGAGGCAATTTCTGAATTGAGTGACACTTCGCTCCATGGGGAATGGGGACTTCTTGCAATCTTATGCAGCATTTAGTTTGTAATTTTTAGAAAAACCACTCCATTATTACAGATAGCCTTATATTCTGTCTGCAAATAATATATGACATTTATGTGGCCACATAAACTAATGCAGTGTATGTCCTCTATGTCTACTGTATTATATATGCCAATAGAGACTTATGGAAATAAAGGTCTTGATCAAGATGTTTTAGCTGTGGACATATTGTCAAAAAGGCTTTAAGCTATTTATGGATGTGGTATATCACTTGTATCTTTAAGAGAAATAAATAAAAACTTGTGTTACAGATGATGGGTGTGGCAAGGAGAAATGTGAATTTTATGCAGTTTGTGAAACAATCCACGGAGAACCCAGATGTGTGTGTCCGCAGCTCTGTAACAAGGTAACTACCATAGTTTCTGGTGGATAAGACTACTCCCAGTTAAAAATAGAATATGGGATATATTCGCCCTATAATCCTCTTTAGACCTAATGATCCCTTGGAAAGATGACAAAGAGTTCATGTTTCTTGATCTCAGCATATGTAGGGAAGGTGTGGTCAGCACTTTGCTCAGCCGCCTTTACTTTCCCTAACAAGAGTTAGGTACCCATCAGAGCTGGGTGGACTCAGGGATGTTCTACTGACTTGAACCTGGATTCAAACAATTTTTCAAACAACTTTTTAATAAAACCCCTATTTTTCATTATAAAAAATTATAATGAGTAGGCCTACTCTTTCAGGATTATTTTGGTACTAGGATCCTCATTGATAAATTACATTCATTTCATCTTTTCTTTTACAGGAATTATTTGACCCTGTGTGTGGTAACGATGGGATCACATATGACAGCGAATGTCATCTTCGAGTTGAAGGGTGTCAGCGAAAAAAATTGTTAACCATAGCATCCAGAGGCACTTGTGGTATGTGTTTGATACTTTATTTTTTACTACTCCTTGGTAGGTCATTAGAATAGGTTTATTATTTACAACTGTGGTCTCATAATTATCGAAAATTTTGTCAACTGTCCTACTCCACTTTACTTTCTCCACAAGACATCACCCTACAACTTCACCACCACACTGATCCACTACCCATCATCCATCATATGCCACTGCTTCTACTGAATCCACTACTCCACCACCTTATATAATCCACTAGTCCATGATCTAACATACTCCACCACCATACTGACTCCATCACTGTACATAATCCATAATCCACAGCCCCACCATCTCAATAACTCCTCTGCTGACACTTTACCCAACACTATTTCACCAACTTGCTGATTCCAATTCTCTAACACTCTGCTCATCATAACTTATACTTTTTAACCAATTTTTGTTTTTACATTATTTTTCTTATTAATTTATTGAGGATGATTTTATATGTTAGCATTTTATTATAGATACACGTAATGACATTACCTTTGGCTATTAAAAATGTGTAGATGTTTGTTTTATGTTACAGATAAATGTTAGAGTGTTACCTATGACTACTGAAAAGAATGTTACATTTTATTTTTTTTTCAGATAAGTGTAAAGAAACTATCTGAAATTTGTTACTTTGTTTCTTTTACAGATAAATGTAAAGATGTGAAATGTGAAAACTACGCCAACTGTGAGAACGGACTGTGCGTGTGTCCGCTGCTGTGTACAACCGTGTATGAGCCAGTGTGTGGCTCAGACGGGCGCACCTACCGTAATGAGTGTGAGCTGAGGAAGTACTCATGTGCTGAACACCGAATGATCACAATGGAGTCAATGGACGAGTGTGATGACTCCATATCAGGTTCTGGAGGTATACACGTGTTGTAAATATGTTTGATGTAAATAGTGATGTTCACTGTAAATTAGCATTTGTTTGTGTTTATCTAGGTATCACAATTTTTGTATACAGACTGTATTGTTTGTTACTTTAGTAAACGTTGTATCTTTCTATATTTTTTTTTTACAATGATTTAGTAAAACGAAGTACATAATAATTTGTTTAAATTCAACCTATTGTAATGATGCAATTGAAAGTTAAGAAATCATTTTTCTTTCAATGAACAAAGAATTATAAATTTAATAAAAAAAATACAATTTAAAAGAAAAGGTTACAAGTCATTTTCTAAAGTTCATGTTAACATTAAATTGATTTATTTGAAGAAAAAAAAACTATTTAATAGTGTAGGATGCTCTTTTTTGTTTCCATTAATGTGGTTTGTCTGTTATTTAAAGAACTAAACTCTCTCATTATAATGGAATGAAAATGTGAAAGAAAATTATATTCATGAAAACAATAGCCTTTAGCACGAACACTTTTTAATTATATTTATTAGACTGTTAAAATATTTGTTAAAGCCAGGCTAATTATTTTCTCTTATAGCTTATTTTGTAGTTAGTGTATAAAAATGTTGTAAAAATACATAAAAAAGAACGAAGAACTAAACAAGAATAATTGCCGCATTTAAAATTAACTTCAAGCTAATCATCGTTCATAGGAAAGCATTAAAAATGTATTATTATACTTGAGTCTAATCTCATGGGAAATCTGGAACAATTTTCCTCCATTATAAAAAAAACTTATTGATTTGAGTTGTCATATGTTTTTACAATCTTTTTAACAAATTTGTTTTATTGTTTCTTGTCATAGTTATAGTTTTTATTCTATTAAATGTAGTATTTGTTTTGTAATAAAAAGTCCATACAGGTTTATTTAGTTAAAAAATAATAACTCCCATCTTTTAAAGAAGATTGGATAGTGTGTGTATTTTTATGTGCGTTTGACTAAAGAAAAAAGGATGTTTTGTAAACAAAGGAAGTGGCGACTTCATAGACGATGACACTGAGGTGGACTTAGTGGTAACGGTGACACCAACAAAAAAACCCACAGACTGTAACGAGAACAACTGCGTCAAGTTTGGGGGGTCCTGTATTCTAGATGGCACCAAACTCATCTGTTCCTGCAGCTTCCAGTGTGAGGCAAAAAGGTAAATTTGTAAACTCTGATACTGTGAATGTGCAGGTGGTAGGTGAAGTAGAGTTGGTCTGTTTTAACTCAGATTTAAGCAAATAGAACGCAGTCATCTGACAGTTATGTTTGTGTGATTACATGGTCAGATAATACAAAATTGTAGACATGTCTGTTTGTTGTGCAGATGAAGTAGAGTTCACCTGTTTTGGCTTTCAGAAGACTCAGGAATTGTGTGGTCAGATTTATGCCCAGCCACCTTTACTCTCCTAATCTTGAGTCAGTTTCCCCAATAGCTAAGTTGACTCAAGTGAGTAGTAAAGTTCCCTTTTAAAGTGTGATCATCACTATGCCAAGCCGCCTTTACTTAACGTGAGTTAGGTACCCATCAGAGTTGGGTGGACTCAGGAACAGTCTACTGACTTGGACCCGGATTCGAACTCGAGACTTACGGGTTAGCAGTCCAGCTCTCTACCGCTAGACCACTCCGTCCTATAGTTGACTCAAGCCCAGGAACCAAACTCAGCAATCACAGACTCTACCACTTGATCACACCATCCCACCTATAAAACATCTGTAGTGAAACCCAATCACAGCTCTTGAGTTCTGCCCCTCAACATATTAAAGATAATATCTAAGCTTTTCAATGAGGTCCACTGATTAACTCCAGAATTCTTTTTTATCTGCTTTAAAATATTCATTTCTTTTGCTAATAATGGGATTCTATCTCCTTATTTTTATTTGCACTCTAATATTTTCTTGTAGTAATATGTTCTAAAAAAATCAGAATGTAAATTCCCAAAAGATGTTATTAGTTTAAAAAAAAATCATTCATTAACTAGACGGTTTATAATAACCTGCTTTTGTTGTTTAATAATTTATTTTCCTAATGTTTATTTTTTTCTGCTGTAATTACAAATGTGATGCACTTTAACAGGCAGCCAGTGTGTGGGTCAGATGGGCGCATGCATGGCAACAACTGCACCATGTTGCAGACTTCATGCCACAGGAAAATGATCATCACAGAAAAACCTTTGGATGAGTGTGATGGTGGGTGGATATTTTAAACTGCTGGACGTAGTTAAGCTAGCATACACTTAATGTCATGGTCTCAGAAATTTCAGCCTGCTGATACTACTGACAGCGTGCACCTAGTTAATTTAGTGTAATTTATTAAATTACATAATTTAAAATTTAATAAAAATTTATCCTGAATTTAAGCTTCTATGTTTTCTCATAGTGCAAAAACAACTAAGGCGTTTTAGGGTAAGCCTAAAGGAAAACAAAATGTATAACTTCAAAATACTGATAGACACAATGAAATAAAAATGTTATTTTTTCTTTGTGTTTTAGAAATTGACAGTGATGAGCCATGTGATGGCAAGCCAACAGTCATGAACCCACTCACAAACAAGGACTACGACTGCAACCTTGAGCGCTGTCCAGTCCACAGCTACTGTCACACTGAATTTGGCAAGTGCTGTAAGGAAGGTGAGAGACAATCACTGACATTATCTCATCATTAAACATTGAACCCCTGACAGAATCCCTGACATAGAAGATCATGGTTTTATTGCTTAGCTGTAGACTGTCAGTTAATCTGATTTAGATTTACTGGGGACAATTATATGTTGATACATTTATACTTAATTAGCAACAGCATCAAACGGGTTGGACTACTAAAGAAGTGTTTCAATAAAACTAAAGTACCTCTTACTAATGTGATACATCAGTGTACCATGTTGGGCTGGTATATGCCAAAATAATTGTAGCCTCAGAGATAGAAAAAAAAGTCTTTCTCCTCATTTGGAAATTTAATTACATACATTATTTTAAAATATAAAAATTCTAATTTTGTTGAAGCTCTAATTGTATTATTTAAAACATGTATTTTAGTAAATTCACATGACATAATGTATTTTAATAATAAATTTCACCCAAACTTTCTAACAGTAATGATTTGGTTTTTCTTGGAAAAACCAGGCTGATGCCATTGTGTAATATTTATTTCTCTCCTTTCACAGTCATGGCACCAATCACACACTGTATTGAAACAGAATTCAAATGTTGTCAAGATGGTGTCACACCTGCTAAAGGACCTAATGGTGCAGGCTGCCCAGGTGAGAGAAATCTACTAACATAGTATTATGTTAACATTTAACTACTTTGGCTATTTAAACTTAATTTTATATAAGAATTTAACTACCCTCAGCCTGCATACATTATTATGTTAGAATTTAACAACCCTGACATTATTATGTCAGAATCTAACTACCCTGACATATTGTTATGTGAGGATTTAACTACCTTGAGCCTGCAGGCTTATTGTTAAGTGAACATTTAACTAGCAGTCTTGCTCTAGTGTAGTAAATTGCAAACCTGAAATAAACCTTTGCAGCTTACCCATATAATTTTTATTGTAGTTATGATTCCATAATTAAGTTAATTTACATGATTTTAAATTATTTCTTACATCCCTGCTGCTAATTGGAAAAATGGTTTGTTTAATTAGTAATTAAAGAGTTATTATTAAAATAAGTCGATGCACATAAAAACATAATATTTGTACTAAGTTAATTTAAAGATGCTAAAATTTCTGCATGTGTTTCACTTACTTTATCTCATTAATGAATTACATTTAACAAACTAAATGAATTTTAAGTGTGGACTTTAAGATATCACAAAACACTGTTTTTAAAGAAATGTATATTAATTGTTGTATTGTAATTTTGTTTTTCATTATGAGTTTTTATATATGGACAAAACCATCTTGAACATAAATACTAATTTCAATAATTTTTATATTTATTCTGATCTTTCTTGTTTAAATGTAACACTTAAGGCATAATGTTTACAGTATTCAATGTCAGTTATTCTATCAGTTTAAATTTTATTGATAGGTCTTAGATGCATGTATCTATCTTTTCCATAATTATACACATGCTAATTAAAAGCTGTTTAATTCTTTGATCAGGATTACTATAGTATATTCTTTTTTCAAAATCATAAATTAATATAACTTAAAAACTAAATTCATTGAAATATATGCACAGAAATAATTGTAAAAATGTTAATGCGACTTATTTTCCACCAGACGTGTGTGTGTGCAATCCTTTTGGCTCCTACAGCCCAACCTGTGACCCAAAGACTAAGCAGTGCACCTGTAAACCTGGAGTAGGTGGCAAAAAATGTGACAGGTGTGAGACTGGGTACTGGGGACTTCACAAGATTGCTGATTCAGGGAACGCAGGATGTATACGTAAGGCTACATATTTTTAATGCACTGTTTTTATCCTATATATAAGCCTTCTCATTTTTTAATGGAAATGTTTGTCAAGTTTATTAAGAATGAAAAACCCTTTTTTTTTTTGTTTAAAAACTGGATGGCTCATCATTATTGTTCTCAGTTGAAACTATAACACAGCAAATTTAGAATCAATTTTTGTAAAGACACTGAGATGTATTCTTCTATGAATTAATATTGTGTTTATCTGAATGTTTTGTTAATCAGTGGTAAAAATTTCATAACACTCAAGCATTTATTACTAGAAGTATTATAAAAATTATCAAAATCAAATTTTATTTGTTTTTTAAAATACTTAGGGACTTCTAATTCTAAAAAAAAAAAAAAACCATTTATTTTTCCTGATAAAATCTTACTGAAAAATGACCAAAAAAAATCAATTGTTTATCCAGCCTGTAGCTGTAGCAAGTTTGGTTCCTACCGTGATGACTGTGATCAAATGACTGGCAGATGTATGTGTAAATCTCACATTATGGGCATGAAATGTGACAGGTGTTTCAATGGAAAATTACTGGGACCTGATGGCTGCAGAGGTAATTCATTTAAATTGGTTTTTTTTTAATATTTGTCTGTTTTGTTAAATTAAATAATATAAGTATTCCTTCTAGAAGCTTTTTACTTATATAATTGCATATATGTTTGCTTAAAACTTTTATCAAATTGACGATTGACTTACTAAACAGTATTTTGTGCGTAGATCAGCCATCAATTAATCATTAGTTTTAATGTTGGGCTATTAAGTAGGCTACAACCCAGCTAGTTTTTGTACACCCCCTTAGTAATAGTTCCAACAGTATAAAATTAACATTTTCTGCCCAATTCATTTCTTATTGCAACTAGGAAGAAAAGACATAGGTACAGTATTTCAACTTTAATCATTTGTTTAAAAAAAATAGATAAGGAAAACAGTTTTTTAGGTCCATTGTTATGATATATCAAGGAATTAATTAATTATCTATTAAAACATGATTTATAATAGTTATTTCATAATAAGTTAATATTCGATGAAAAACAGTAAAAAAAAAACTAGTCATAATCTTTGCTAGATATATTTCAAAAAGATATGCAACTATTATTTTTTTTTTGCCAAAGAACTATACAAAATAATTTAAAAAATAATATTGATCCTATGAATTATAAATTTTCAGCAAAAAATTTTATTTCTAAATTTCTATTATTAATTTTAAAATAATAAAAAATTATATTTGCACACATATCTTTTTTTCTAGTGGACTTTGTTTTAACTAATGTGGCTTAGAAGTTGTACAGTTTGCTGTTTCATATTTCAGATGATGTCATCCCACAAAGCTGCTCAGAGGCCAACTGTCAGTACGGGGCCACGTGTAGGGCCGACTCTGACGGCTCGCTGGGCTGTTTCTGTGACCAGAAGTGCGACACCCACAGCCAACCCTCTGACACAGTGTGTGGGTCAGATGGTCAGACGTTTGGCTCTCGCTGTCAGCTGGAGTACTACGCCTGTCGGCTGAAGATGGATATTGTTGTCATCAACTCAGGACCCTGCAGAGGTTACATTTTTTTTTAATTGCTATTCATTGTTTTTATCCGTTTTTATTTTAAGAAGTTGAACTATACTCCATCTGTGTCTTTAACATGGATGGGAAAAGATTATGATAAAAGAATGATGTATAAGAAAAACTGGCTATTAAATTCAAATTTACAACAACTAGTAAATAGGCTATTTACCATAATTACTCCATGCACTATTTTCCATTACTGTTATTAGTCAATGCACTATTAGCACTACTTTTAAAATAGGTATTTAGCCATAGAATTAATCTGTTGGCTATTTGGTTTACTATTATAGTAACAGGCCCATAAGCTGTTCAACTTTTTTTTTCAAACCTCAATTTTGTTTAACATAATTGTAACTTTACTAATGTGAAATGTATTTAAGGCCACATTAAGTTTTCTAATTTAAAAAGTAACAAATTGTCAAATTTACCCAGGGCTTCCACCCATGCCAGTTACAACTGTGTCTCCTGTGAACAAGTCTAGAAAAACAACACGCCACATTGAAAACAAAGAAGACAACAAAACACAAAATTGTGAGTTATCTCATCATTTTCCATTTTCCTCCCTTGCAAAGCATAAAGCCTCTGTCAAAGCTTGCCAAAAAATCTTAAACAAAATAATGAGTTATGTACTCTGGTTTAATTGTATCCACTTGTTTTACACAAACTTCTCTTTGAAGAAATAAAACTGTTTAAATGAATTGGTTAAAGAAAACACAAGAATTATAGTGTTTGCAGTTTAAAAAAAAACATTGAAAAAGAAAAAGGATTCAGGTCATTTCTGATGTTTTAATGTTTTTATTATCTTGCAGCTGAATTTTTTTACTAATGTTGAGACTTTTAAAAAAAAATTCAAATTTACTCATTAAAAAGGTTAGCGTATAAGATGTTCTTTAACAGAACTTATCACAACTAAACATGGCTTGTATTAAACATAATTCATGTTCCTTTTCACAGGCACAGGAAGTGTGATAGACAATTTGTGCCTGTCTAACATAGACTGCTGCCCTGAACACAGCCACTGCAAAAATGGGCTGTGTTATTGTATGGATGGATACGTGCCTTCTGACAACAATCAGCAGTGTCATGGTTTGTCTCCCTTGTTCTGATAGTGCTCTATAAGTATAAAGCTTTGGCAGATATTCTTTAAATTAGTGTCATGGTTTGTCTCCCTTGTTCTTATAGTGCTCTATAAGTGTAAAGCTTTGGCAGATATTCTTTAAATTCGTGTCACACATTTTTCATTGGCTGAGCAAGGATGATAATCATTACAAGTGGGAAGGAATCATCTTTGTTCAACCATAATTAAGTTTTTACACAGTTAAATATAAAGTAACCTGTTTGTAAAAGTAAATATTTTTAGTCTACTCAAGCAAATCAAAATAAGAAATTGTACTGATGTAGTACTTATAATTTATTTACCATAAAGTCTACTTACATACAGTTTTGAAGGGAGTAGTGTTTCAATTCATTGTTTGTTATACTTTAGAGTTTAACGAGGCAGAAATGATATAATTCCACAGAACTAGTGAAAGAAAAAGCAACCAAAATGCCAGACACCAGCATCAACCCGTGCAGCAACAACCCATGTCATGCAGGCACATGTTTGCTGGATGACAGCCTGGGATACAGGTGTGCCTGTCCACTAGGGAAATCTGGTCCATTGTGTAACAGAGGTATTGAAAACACTAATTTAATATCCTTTTTCTTGAAGAGTTCACATTGATTTAGAGTTATCCTTCCCTGTCTGAATTAGTCATGTGTAAACTTACCTTCATTTATAAGGTTTTAAAGAGTAACCAACCTATTCTGTTTACTGGTTCTACCATGCAGTACTGAATACAGTTTAATTAATAATTTTACTAGTATTTCTCCATTCGTTTAGAGGCATTTTTTAAAATTATTAATTGAAGAAGTTACCGTATCCGACTTGATCTATCCTAAAATCATAATTTTTATTGTTTTTTTTATTTAGGTTTTTGAACTTTCACATGACCCATGGCCTAAACTAAAATGGTCAAATATAAAAATTATGATATCTGTATTAAGTTCTATGGCCTATATTAAAACGGCCAAATACTTTACCATTATCATACTGTGTTTTAACAATCCAATTTCATCTCATGGCCTATCCTAAAAATGGTACAATATTTTTTAAGAATTATATGTGTTTTATACATCTAGTTTTATGGCCTTCTAAAATTTTCTGATATCTTAAAAATTTTGATATCTGTATTTCAGACATCAAATTCCATGGCCAATCCTAAAATTTTGTGAAATTAAAAATTGTCAATATCTGTATTCTAGACATCAAGTTCTACGAGCCATCCTTCAGCGGCGTCTCATACCTTGAGCTGCGACGCATTGATAAAGCCACCCAAGACACCAGAATAGAAATCATCTTCACCTCCACCAACGACAACGGCATCCTGCTCTTCAATGCTAAAAATAGAGATGGCAGCGGGGACTTTATTTCACTGGCGGTCATTGACGGTTTTGTTGAATTCAGGTGAATGACTCATACACTCAATACATTAGTTGTTCTGATGAATCTATGCAGTGGACAATGGTGTGGTCTAGTTGTAGATACATCAACGCTAAACAGAGGGTTTAAAATTAGCTAGTTGTAGGGGTGTCGTAGTTGCTAAGCCTCTGACTTGCACTTGATTTATATTTGGGAAAGTTGAAGTGACTGCACACTGTGGTAGTTGGACAGTCTTTTTTACATGTCTACAGAAATAGATTAACTCTACATCCCCATTCAAATGAGTATAAATCATATAGATACAGAAACACTTGAAACCCTGCTAGATCTGTCATATTAGTACTAGTAATACGAAGCCTGTATATGCCACATCTACAAGAACTCTACTCACCTGTAATATTAGCACTCGTCAAACAATATATTTTAATACCCTAGCTAGAGAAACCTTAAATCTACACTGCTTCATTAAATTTGAAAATGTTATACAAATTCATGTAAAAAAAAAGTAAAGTTAAAAAATAACACCAAAATACCCTAACACCAAACATAGTTTGATAGACTCTAACACCAAACACAATGTGATAGACCCTAACACCAAACATAGTTTGATAGACCCTAACACCAAACATAGTTTGATAGACCCTAACACCATAGTTGATAGACCTTAACACCAAACACAGTTTGATAGACCCTAACACCATAGTTGATAGACCCTAACACCAAACAAAGTTTGATAGACCCTAACACCAAAAACAGTTTGATAGACCCTAACACCAAAGTTTGATAGACCCTAACACCAAACAAAGTTTGATAGACCCTAACACCAAACACAGTTTGATAGACCCTAACACCAAACACAGTTTGATAGACCCTAACACCAAACATAGTTTGATAGACCCTAACACCAAACATCGTTTGATAGACCCTAACACCAAACACAGTTTGATAGACCCTAACACCAAACAAAGTTTGATAGACCCTAACACCAAACCTAACACCAAACAAAGTTTGATAGACCCTAACACCAAACACAGTTTGATAGACCCTAACACCAATAGACCCTAACACCAATAGAACCTAACACCATACATACTTTGATAGACCCTAACACCATAGTTTGATAGACCCTAACACCATAGTTTGATAGACCCAAACACCAAACACAGTTTGATAGACCCTAACACCAATAGACCCTAACACCAAACACAGTTTGATAGACCCTAACACCAATAGACCCTAACACCAATAGACCCTAACACCAATAGACCCTAACACCAATAGACCCTAACACCAATAGACCCTAACACCAATAGACCCTAACACCAATAGACCCTAACACCAATAGACCCTAACACCAATAGACCCTAACACCAATAGACCCTAACACCAATAGACCTTAACACCAATAGACCCTAACACCAATAGACCTTAACACCAATAGACCCTAACACCAATAGATCCTAACACCAATAGACCCTAACACCAATAGACCCTAACACCAATAGACCCTAACACCAATAGACCCTAAAACCAAACACCTTTGCTGCAGGTTTGATCTGGGTGCTGGCCCCGCCACCATAAAGAGCCGAGACAAAATCGAGCGAGGCAAGCCTCACCATGTGGCGGCTCGCAGGATCAAGGAGGTGGGCCACCTCATCGTAGACAAGGGTGACCCTGTCGTTGGGAACGCCCCCTCGACCTTGACCTCTCTGGAACTCAATGACCCACTTTATCTTGGATTTGTCCCAAATGCTACAAAAGAGTAAGTAAATACCATAGTAAAATAGGTTCTGTTATTAACTGTATGTAAAGTAGCAAGGTGATTACTGGCTAGTACAATTAACATAGAATTCTACTGCTTTCTTTCATAAATTACTTACTTTATTAAAAGTGAATAGGCAAGGTTCAGTCTTCAGTTTAAAAATTCAAAATTTTTTACCTCCTAAATATATAAGGCTCTAATGTTTTTTGTGTGGTCAAGTTATTTTTTTTAATCAAAATTTATGAAATACATTCCTACTTGAAATATCTAACAAATTTTATAAGTTAGCTTAATAATTTCATTTTAATTCAATTCAGATTTGATAATTTTCCCTCTACTCATGATATTTGATAAATTTACTTTTTCTCATCCAAGTTGATAACTTTACTTTCACTTGTGTCACACTTGACATCTTTACCTTACCTCATATTTGATAAATTTACTTTCACTCATCATAATTGGTAACTAAACCTTCCATTAGGTTGTATTTGATAGCTTTACTTCATCTCTCACACTTAATGACTTATACTTGTGCTATAATTTATTAACTTTACTTCAGCTTGTGTTATATATTGATAAATTTACTTCAGCTTGTGTTATATTTGGATAAATTTATTTCGCTTGTGTTATATATTCATAACTTTATTTCACCTTTTGTTACATATTGACAACTTTACTTTAGCTTGTGTTAGCTATTGATAACTTGAACACCTAACAATTGATAACTTTGCCTCAGCTTGTGTTATATATTGATAACTTGAACAGCTAACAATTGATAACTTTGCCAGGGTGTATGATAAGATTGGTGTGAGACTGGGTCTAGTGGGCTGTATCAGCTCCCTGCGTGCTGGAAGTCAGGATGACCTGTAATATATTGATAACTTGAGCAGCTAACAATTGATAACTTTGCCAGGGTGTATGATAAGATTGGTGTGAGACTGGGTCTAGTGGGCTGTATCAGCTCCCTGCGTGCTGGAAGTCAGGATGACCTGTAATATATTGATAACTTGAGCAGCTAACAATTGATAACTTTGCCAGGGTGTATGATAAGATTGGTGTGAGACTGGGTCTAGTGGGCTGTATCAGCTCCCTGCGTGCTGGAAGTCAGGATGACCTGTACACTTACAACCTGGCGTACACGGAAGGTTTCAGTGACATCAAATCTGGCGTGGACATCAGTAAGTAAACTTTATATCTGTATGCATGGTATTAGTAGGTTGATTTGTTTCATGACTCATCTTTTGACTGCATCAACGACCCCTTTTTTTATTTTTATTAATGAACCCATTTTGACTTAATTAATTACCCGCCATGTATATTAATGACATCATTTTGACTGTATTAATGACCCCCATTTCAACTGTATTAATGACCCTTGTTTTAACTGTATTAATAACCCCCCTTTTAGAATATTAATAACAACTGTTTTGACTAAGTATCTTTGTGAAAACTCCTAACCCCTACTAAAATTTTAAGAAAATTTAATTTTACTGATTTTAAACTTTCTCTATTCGTAAACATAATTTGGTTTTTGCTTTTAAACTGTCCTTTTCCTATAACTGATGATAATTGTCCCATGTCTGTTTTGTGTTACTGGTTACACTCATCCCATGTCTGTGTTACTAATGATAGTTATCCCATATCTATTTGTTAACTGATGATATTTATCACAGGTCTGTTTTGTGTTACTGATGATATTTATCCCATGTTACTCTCTACACAGACTCATGTGTCAACAACCCCTGTAAAGATATCCCATGTGAAAATGGGGGCACCTGCCGTGTCATTGACTCACTCCTTTACGAATGCCATTGTAGGGAAGGATACAAAGGTACAGAGAAAAAAAAACATTAAAACTTTTTTTTAGTTTAGTCATACCAAACCTTACATCACTAAGTTTCTACACATACTTATTTTAAAACTAACATAAATCTTAGATCTAATTCCATTCTAAATTTTCTTGGCCAATAATTTAGTATCTCGAAAACTAATTCTAACCTTAATTTCTTCCAAACTTTAGGCCGATAACTTAAACATTGATAACAAAAATTGTCTAAAATTGATGAGTAGTCTATTGTGCCATAAACTATTTATATTTTTCAAACTTGTGAGATCTTGTGAGATCATCAACTCTTCTATTCACACATTTGATGTGTAGATCTATAACCAAATTTGTTTTTTCTACTACCCAGGCAGGAAGTGTGAGATAACCATCAACCCCTGTGCCAGCCAGCCCTGTGAGTATGGCGGCAGCTGTGTGCCTATGACGAGCGTGGAAGGCTTCTTCTGCCAGTGTGCCCACGGACGTGAAGGGACCAGATGTGAAAGAGGTTTGAAATATTTTCTAATATCAAGTTTGATTTCTTCTAATGAAAAGTATTGCATTAAGTTTTTTTGTTGTGAGGCTTCTTTTAGTTATTTAATTTACTTTTTTTTTCTAAAGTAAAAATTACCATTGTCTCAACAGTTTGTTATTTTTATATTCTGATTTTAAAGTAATATTTTTATCTCAACTTCTTGCTGATTTGATAGGAGAATTAGGTAAATGCTAACATGAAAGTAGAGTCACTATGTAGAGCATCAGTATGTCTGAAGAACAGCTCTTTGTCTGTAGAATATTAATGCCATTATGAGGCATTAGGTTATATTTGAATTTACTCTATAGGATATAACAATCTGTAAGACATGTCAGTGTGTAAGACTTGCCAGTCTGTAGGACGTGTCAGTGTGTAAGACTTGCCAGTCTGTAGGACGTGTCAGTCCATAGGACATGTCATTCTGTAAGACATGTCAGACTCTAGGACTGTAGGACATGTCAGACTGTATCAAAAGTCTGTAGGACATGTCTGTAAGATTTACCAGTCTGTGTGACATGTATGACTCTTGGACTGTAGGACATGTCAGGCTGTATGGCATGTTAGTCTGTAGTACATGTCATGTTCTAGGATATTTCTGAGTCTACCCAGCTCTAAATCAAACCTGACATTAGTTAGGAAATGTAAAAGCTACATTATTACTTAAAATCAGAGTTCATTGAAACTGTTAAACTCTACTTCACTTGTTCTTTCAACCAAAAAAAAAACTACTCACACCTTATAACACAACCACCTCTCTCATCAGAATCAAAACCAGAGGAGGTGTATGTATCCCAGTTTATTGGAGACTCCTACATGGAACTTCCTGTAGAAGAAAAGCTGTCCAGCTACCTGTCCATTGAGATCTGGTTCATGGCCAACAAGCCCAGTGGTCTGTTGCTGCTGATCACACAGAACACTAGCGCTGGTGTGGGGGACTTTGTCGCTCTCTACCTGGAGGAGAAAAACCTGGTGTTTGCCTTCAACCTGGGCAGTGGGATAGGGAGGATTGAGTGAGTTGGTTTTTAACATTTGTTGGTTGGGTTTGTGAGAAGTAGGGACATATTTGTTGGTTGGCATTTAGGGAATGGAGGGTTGGTTTTTGACATGTGTTGGTTGGCATTGTGAGAATGATATAGGATGTCTTGGTAGAGTGCTAGACTGTTAACCCAAAAGTCTTGAGTTTGAATCCAGGTTCACGTCGGTAGAGCTTCCCTTAGTCCATCAAGCTCTGATGGGTACCTAACGTTAGGGAAAATAAATGCGGCTGGGTATAGTGCCGACTACACTATCCCTTCATATGCCGAGGTCACAGAAATAGGTGAACTCTATCTGCCCCATGTGTCATGGGCTTGTACAGGAAAAATGATGATTGTGGGAATGGAGGGTTAGTTTTAAACATTGTTGTTAATTAACATGGGGAAAAATCAGATAGTTATTTTAGATTCATGAATGCTAGCTGGCTATGTATAGACACAGAGATACTGTACCTACAATGCTGTCCCTTTGGATCATAAAGATAGTCACATATTCCTATATTATACTGTCTTCATCTGACATTATAGAAATGAAATGATAACATTAAAAAAGAATGTAGTTTAAAAGTAAAAAGAAAATCTGTTAAATATTTTACAGCTGGATGTAGAATTATTTCTAAACAGATTGTATCTGAATGATGTGAGCATTGTTTGCCTGAGTTAACGCTTCATCTACCCATTTCTATGTTTGACTTCAATAGATTTAATGAATGTGTAATTCTAAAATGTTTGATCCTTTAGAAGTAAAAAACATGTACACCTGGACAAATGGCATAACGTCACCATCTCATTGTCTGGACGCTCTGGACAAATGAGTATAGACAAGCACCCCCCTCTCTTTGGTGAAGCACAGGTTTGTTTACTACAGAATTTTTCTTTGTTTACCTGGCCTTTATTTTAAAAAATTAAAAACTCTGACTAGACTTCAGACTTTCTTAGGAATGTGATTGAAAATGATAGAATTATAAACCAGTTTAATTTGTTAATTAAGGGGAGATTAACAATTAAAAAAAGGTAACTTTTTCTCAAATCCTAAAGGATTTAAGATTTATTTGTTCTTTTTCTTGAACCTTAAACAAATCTCTCAGTTATGCAAGAGAATTTCTTTCAATAGGCTGCAAAACACAGCATTTGTTACTTTCTAGCTAAATAAATTATAAATAAATATGCCTTGTTTGAAGTAAAAGAGTTAACTGTTAAATACCAAATGTAAATAATTTAAACAATTTATAATGCTCTTGTTATTGGCTACTGATTTTTAAATTTCAGTTCACCGATAATGTGGTCAGTAATCTAATAAGGCAAATTTTTTGCACTTGTCCTAATTGTTGTGTTTTGTTTTTTTTCTATTGATTTTTGTTTTCCTCATTTTAAGCCATTGTGTGGGCCATTTTGTTAATGGTTTGTAACTTAATTATTGTTTTATTTCTAGTTAGGAACAACACATTAATCTAATATAGTTAAATTTAGAAGTTTGAGCTAAAGTATTGAGTTTTTCATAGCTAATAAGCATTTTAAAATATTTTTAAAAATTCTTTTTTGAGTTTTTTGTTGTTGTAGTGTTAAACTGAGTTGCTATGTTTTGCTTCCAGATTAGGATCAAAGTTAATGTTCATGAAAGTAAATTTTTGGAAAGTTGAATGGGCAGATTTTTTTCACATAATGTTTTGTAGGTTAGCAAAAAGAAACTAATATTTGCTTTCAAGTTATTTTTTAAGGTTTTGTTTTATTAGAGTGCATTTTTTAAGAATTTATTTAAAAAATCTATTTGAATTTTTATTTTTAAAATTTTTCTCTAACCTTTTTAAAAAATTTATATTGGCAATAAAGTCATCTATATAAGTGAATTGTATTAGGTCATGTACAGTTTTCATAGTTTGAAAAATCTGGCATAGTCTTGTGTGTCTAGCATGAATATGTCCAGTTGTTTTTTTCACTTGTTGTTTACATAGTTTCATTCATGCTCTGACATTTCCATCAGTTGATGTTGTATTGCCAGAATGTATTTATTTATTTTTAATAAATACCTTTCTCAAGCAAACTAAGAAATACAAATGTAAATAAAGATTTTTAAAAATTCTATTTATTTTATGCAAAATAGAAATGCTATATGAAATCAATGAGCCATTTCAACCCTATAACTCTCTCTAAATAATACAGCTGGTATTTTTATTTATTCTTCCAAATGTTTAATCCGCTGGCAAAAAAAATTAGCTTTCCAAAATGTTGAAGATGAACTAATTTTCTCTTGAAATTTGTTTCAATATAATATTTTTTAGATGTTTATATTTGTTTTAAATATGTGTAATTAAAATGTTTAAGATATTTCTTTTTAATATTAATTATATGAACTAATTTTCAAGAAATATCCACCTTCTAAAAGAACTTATTTTTTTTTATGAAGATTTTTTTTAAAAATGTAGGAAGAATAGCAGTATGATATTTAATTACAAAGATATTTATTTAATTAAATCTTGTATTATTTCAGGCTGAAGCTTTATTGAATGTAAAATGTGTAAAGCTGAAACTATTTGTTCATTGTTCTGTTCTAATCTAAAAAAAATTAATCCTGTTTAAACTTTGTAATATTAGGGACCATCATCCATGCTGAACATAGACAACAGATCTTTGTTTCTTGGAGGCTTTAATAAAGAAACTGATGTCCCTGTTAAATTGCGTCCTCAAACTGGCTTTACTGGAGCTATACAAAGAGTAAGTAACTTAAACTTTATGTTATTCTTAAACATTTTTCCTTCTGTTCTTAAAAAAAGCAATAAAGTAATAGTAGTTTTATCAATCATCTAACTATTGAAAAATATTTCTTTGTTACTAAGTATTTAAAAATTTTTAAATTCTAATCTGTTTTATTAAAATATTTGAAATGTTTAACTGAGATATATTTAATTTTCACTGAAGTTATCAATAAGGTAACCATTAATTACTTTGCTTTGTTATCTATTTTGTTAATTTTAATTCAGATTAAATTTTAAAATTATAGAGTTATTATGATAACACTAAAGGAATGCCTATAAATTTAAAATATTGTCAACACACATTCTGCTTCCCAGATCATTATCAATGGGCGAACTGTTGTTGGTCTCATGTCAACAGCCACAACCATGCGTCATATTTCCCCATACAATGGGCCCCCTTGTAATGTGAACCCATGCTTGAATGGTGGGGCATGTGTACCCAAACTGTACAACTATGAATGCAGGTGCCCTAAAGCTTACATTGGGGAAAAATGTGAAACACGTAAGAAATATTTTGTTCATTGAAGTGTTTTTTTTTTCTAAATATAAATAGAATTTCAAATATTCACTTAAAATTATGCAGAGTTGTAAGTAAATACTCAGATTGTTGAGTTTTTTTAGCATACAGATTTAACATTTTATCATTTGCAGTTTCTTTAGTTCTGTTCCCTGTGGTCAGTGATACTACAATAGTGGAATCTTCTTAAATGAGGAGTGTTTGTTGTAGTGTCTATGTTAACCCAAGTGCTAACCCTAATTGGGGTCCCTGACGCTAAACCTGATATTACAACCCAACACACCTGTTTTTGGAAGAGTCCACTTTTTGATACTGTTAAAAAGAAACATTTTATATAATTTCACATGAAAGTTGCAGGGGTGGTATTCTATAAGTACATGAATTTTATTTTTCAGCTTATGATCATAGAGATGCCGATGAGGCTGTGCAATTTGATGGCTCAACTTTCCTGAATTTTGCAAATGAAATCGTGAGAAAGTATGTTATTTTACATGTTATTATAATTTATACCAACATGTTTTTAAATTATTTTGTAATATTAATTTTTAAAATTTTAAAACTCTTTATGAAATGTTTTTATTCAGTAAGTAAAATTTAAAAAAATTAAACCCATTGTATATTTTCTGTGAAAGAATTTTCTTTATTGTGAGATTTATTTATAAATAAATGACTGGAAGCTAATCTTTTTGTTAAAAAAGTTAAATAAACGAGTTAAAATAAAAACAAAGGCAGTTTTAAAAAATGACCTACATATCTACTTAACAGTACAAAAATTGAAACAGAAAAAAAATGTAAAACAAAAATCATCAATTTTTCTTTGTTTTATGAACATTTATTAAAATTTTGTCAAGTGTTGGTTTTATTTATTAAGAGATCTGAGAATAATATTTTAAATTAATACATTTTTTATTAAATTCTAATGATAATTACCAGCAAGGAACTTACAAATTCTTTTATTTACCAGACAAGAAGGTCAGCAGTCCAACAGATTTACTGTGACATTCCGCACCACAGTGCCAGACGGCATCCTGCTCCTACAGCAAGGTGGGGAAAATGTCATCTCCGACTACCTGAGCTTGGCCGTGGCCAGGGGCAAGGTGGAGTTGTCCTACAACCTGGGCAAGCAGACGGCCAGCAAGCTCCACGTGATTAGGTCCACCGTTGATGTGGCTGATGGGCAGTGGCATACCGTGGAGGCAGTGAGGTAATTGATGGCTGTCAAAGTTTTAACTTGCTAGAAGTGGTGTTGAGTTTTTACTCTTTAGTAGATGGGCAGTGGCATACAGTGGAAGCTGTGAGGTAATTGCTGCTGTCAAAGTTTTAACTTTCTATTAGTGGTGTTGAGTTATTACTCTTTAGTAGAGTTGTGACCAACTTTCCCAAGGTAGTGTGCATGGAGTCTTGTGTGTGTGTATATTAACAATGACTGTGTGGATGCACATTAGCACAGCTTAGAGGGAACATTGGCTTATAAATATATAAAGTTTCCCTTTCAAACCTGACGGTCTATGGGGCAAGTGAAGTAGAGTTCACTTGTTTCTGTGACCTCGGCATATGAAGAGATAGTGTGGTCAGCACTATGCCCAGCCGCCTTTACTTTCCCTAACGTGAGTTAGGTACCCATCAGAGTTGGGTGGACTCAGGGACGGTTTACTGACTTGAACCCGGATTCAAACTCGAGGCTTACGGGTTAGCAGTCCAGCTCTCTACCGCTAGACCACTCCGTCCGCTAGACCACTCCGTCACATTGGCTTATACCCCTTTATAAATTTACTGAATTGCAGTTTTCTCGAGTTGTGGTCCTTTATTATTTTACAAAGTAGTTGCCCTTTATAAATGTTATTGGGCGGAGCTCAGCTTAGAGAGAACATTAGCTTATACCTCTTTATAAATTTTACTGAATTGCAGTTTTTTAGAGGTTCACAGTTGTGGGCCTTTATTATTTTACAAAGTTGTCGACCTTTATAAATGTTATAAATGTTATTGAACAGAGTAGCCCTGTTATTGAGTTGTGGCCCATTATTGTTACTAAGTTTTTGTTATAAATTTTACCTTTAAAGATAAACACTGAATATGTAAGGAAGAAAATGGAATGTTTGAATAGAAAAGTAAAATGTGCCATTGCTTAAATAGACATTATAAAAAAATATTCCTATTTTTATAATTTTCAGGCAACAGAGAGAAGGCTCTCTCAAAGTGGACTATGAAGAACCTGTATTAGGCAGCTCAGAACAAGGGACACAACAACTAGACACTGATGGGAATCTATGGGTGGGTGGAAAGAATAGCCTGCCCTTGGGTCTGCCCACAATGAGTAATTTTAAAGGCTGCATTAAATCTGTGGAGGTGAATGGTCAGCAGCTTCACCTGGTCAGGGATCGTAACGGCCAAAGTAGCAACATTGTACTCTGTACATAATATGAATTATATTTTATTAATGTAAAGTAACTATTCCAATTATTATGTATATCAGGTCTGAATTTATAATTTAATATTTCTATGTATTGAAAAAATAATAATTGCAAAATGTATGTTTTGAGTTAAAAAAAAACGTTTTTTAAAAATATATAACAGAAAAAGTGCTTACCTGGCTAATTAATGTTTTGAAATGTTGGATACAAGTGAAGTGACTTGCATTATACTGTGTTTTAATCACTGAGTATCAAGGTCCATAACCCACATACTTGTGTACAATGATTTAACCTCTATAGGCATGCACCTCCCTCACATAAAGGGCTTACATAATAGCGAATTTCATAGCAGGGTGTATTGTTACACTATTTTATCTTTATCCCCATTTATGAGACGTTCACTTTTTTTTTATTATCCCATAACACAATTGTTTGCTCATTAAAAATTGGAAACAAATTTAACAAACTCATCTTGTATATGTTATTGTTATCTTGTATTGGACTTAATGCTTGTGTAGATAGGCCCAGCTGTGTTAGACCCCCCTCCCCCCAAATCTTTGTCCTATTTGTTGTAAGAATATAAACACTTATTGTGATGGTGGAAGTTTACCATAGACCTGATGTAACCTTAGAGTGTTTGTGATGTAAATAGAATATTCAATTTTGGTGATTGGTTCAGGGGAAGTAACTAGCACCTGAGTGATGCCCCTTCCCTTTTTTTTTTACTCCCCATTAATGTTCCAATTCATGCCTTACTTAACCAATCACAATCTCCATAACACTGTGTAATTAATACACACTTTATTGCCTACACCTGTTTCATTCCATTTTTTAAAGTTTAAAATGTTTCTGCATTTTTTTTTAAGTTGTGGCTAATTTTTGTAACTCTTTTAATTTTATTCTATTCTAAAAAAAAATCTTTCTCTTTCAACGTTTTGCTTTAAATAACTGTTTTCACATTTTTGTGTTTGCACTCAATTAAAACAATTGTAGCTGAATTACATGTTTCTGTAATGCATTGTTTTAATATGAACTATACAATCTACAATCCTGGGCCAGTTACTTAAAAATTATGTCCACAATCTTAACCCCTTAACGGCGACTGTCGCTAAAGCGTGACATACCAATGTATTGCTTTCCATTCTTTCCATCACTCAGACCTGTCTTGTAATATCACCACCGCCAACCCTGACTCAGAGATGCATTTGTAGCCTCCTTTCATCTCTCAGAGCCCTAGGCTAACATGCCGGTTCCAATTCCTACAAGTCTATCAATGTTATAATTTCAACCCTGCAAATCCAGTTCCTAGATATCTATCAGAATGTTAAAATCACCCCCCCCCCATTCCAATCTCTAGAAGTCTATCAGAATGTTACTATTACTACCCATTTATTCCAGTTCCCAGTCTATCAGTAACTGACTGTTCCTTATCTTATGGCATATAGCAACATACAGTGTGTTTACCATTCAAGTTTTCTTATTTAAAATCTTAAGTCACATGACCAGATTCCTCGATGCCTATACCACCCTCAAATCTGTAACACTCAACCCAAGCCATAATATAATTATTGTTATCATTTGATAATAGCTATTATAACTCATTGATAAGCCATTATAACTATCATTGATAATTATTATAAATATAAGTGAACTAATATTATTGCTGTTATTATAACAAATGTATATCAATTGATATTTAACGCAATGAAGCTGTGTTTTGTATGTTTGTGGAATTATTTGCAGTCGATGTGTCAGACTTCAGGTCTACACCAAGTATACATTTGATGTTTCTGTGATGAATGATTTATTCAAATGACAGAAGGTCAATGTTTTGTTTAATTGTCGAATTTGTTTGATGATGTTAAATTGTTGAAATGAATTTGATATGGGCCAGTCCTACTTAAAATTTAAGACCCACCCACATCTGATAAAAAAAGACGGTAGCAAACAAATAGTGTGATTGTTATTATGAGAGGTTCTGTGTTTTACGAGGCAGTGTTGCTGTTAACTATTATTGTCTGGGTTGTCCAATGCTGTATTTTATGGATACACATTTTTTTTAGATTGTTTTTTTTTTATAGCAAAACATCCTTGCTGGTTGTCAGATGTTGGTAATGATTCATCTAATACATTGCTGACAAAAAAAAATTAAATAAAGGGAGATAAATATTTCTATTATGCACATATTTTGACTCTGAAAGTTTACTCTTATTTTTTAAATTCTACACCTACTTTCTTTGCACAGACTAATTTTTTCCCATTTTATTTTAAATAAAACAACTATCCTACAAATTATCTCCCTTCCAACTATTTTTATTATTTTAATATACAATTCTTATGAAACATCTTTGAATGTAAAGTTGTTGATTATTTAAGTTACCAGACATTAACTACATATCTGCAGACATTCCATGTAGTAAGTAATGTTTGTAGATTTACTGAAGTCCTTTAATAGTCACCCACCCCCAACTGAGTAGTTATAATATTAGCTCTTATATTTGTAATAATAAGCATATATAATAAGTGTATTTCAGTAAAATAAACAGAAATATTTAGTGAACTTGATTACAGATTAATGAAAGTTTTTATCTTTGATGATTTTATGTTTTTTTTTTTCTTTTACTGTTTTAGTGATGCAACAGTAACTTAAGGTTAACATTTAGTTGTTTGTGAAAAAAACTTCTGATTAGCTATTGTTTCAAATGATTTTTAGGGAATCCTGTAGATGTCGAATTGGTTATGAATGTCACAACATTCCTGGAAATTATTTTTTGTTTTTGTATAAAAATATTTTTTGTAATTGATGTGGACAATAATAACAATGTAACCTTAACCATAAAGATGTTAACTAAATTCAGTTTGGCTTGTTGTTGTTTTTTTTACTTTCTTTCCACATTTCATTTCTGTTTGTTTCAAATGTCTTTTTTCTTTCTGTTTATTGGGTTATCTGCTCTTGACAAGTGAGACACTAAAATTGCCTGCATTGAGTAGTATTTCTAAAGCAGTACAAGTACAGCTATAACATACAATGCTAATACTTAAATATATATAATTGTGATGTGGTTACCTAGTGGGGCCCAAATAGCAAAGGTATTAGAGCATGTGCCTACCATATAGAGGACACTGGTACCACACCACCATGGAGGGACCCAAAACACAAGAAAACATTGAGCACAAAACAAGGTAGGGGGCCCCATCCAATATGGGAAACAACCTGATACAGTCAAGAAACCATCAAGGGAAACAACCCACACACCATAAAGGAAAACAACCTTATGACTAGCAAAGAGAATCAACAAAATTAACAATCATTTCAAATGTTTTTATTTTTCTGTTAGATCATTTTTGTTGACATGCCACATTAACAAAGATGTCAGCATTTCTAAGCTGAAAAATAAATCATAAGATTCTAAGTTTTTCTTTTTCTTTTTTTTTTTAAAATAATTGACCAGAAGCCTTGTATGTAACATGCTTCCATTATAAATAGGCAAATACAAACATGTTTTAATTTTGACAGAAATTAACCATTTAAAATTAAAATATGACCCATTCATTATTAAAATAAACACTGACCATAAACATAATCACCTTCTTTTAAAAACACCATGCTTATTTTCCACATTATTTCAGAAATTACAATGCAAAAACAGCATTTAGTTTGGATGCTTCTAAAATTGACACAATTTTTAACAAAGCCAGCTTTGATACATTTTTCAATACATGTTAGAAAAACTAAATAAAATATATAAACACAAAGCCAAGCTAGTGTATATATTAACCTAATGTTGTCCCACATTAGTTCAGGGAATGTATGGGCATACAGCACAGGAAAAAAAAACCCACCTAACAGAACATTCAGACATGTAGGCCAGCAGTAGATAAAGAGTAATGGGCTAAATCAGGGGTCTCCAAACTACGGCCCGCGGGCCGGTTGCGGCCAGCGAGGTCCTCTCATCCGGCCCGCGGAGATCTTTTTGTCCATGGAAAAAACGTTTGTTGGTGATGGCTGAGGAACTTTGTGCAGAAAAATCAAAGACATGCCTGGAAGAAACTGGCCCCCGAACTGAAATTTGTTAGTTAATGCGGCCCTCGAACTGAAAAGTTTGGAGACCCCTGGGCTAAATGAACGAGGTGTGTATTTCAGTAGTGCCACAAAGGCAGGGGGTTTGGTCCGCGTTGGTTGACACCATTTAGAGGGCGAAACCAAATGTCAAAATTGACCGACAAAACGTTTTATCTAAATAAAATAAAATAAACTAGGTGGCGAGGGATGACACCCAATAGAAAATGTAAAATTGTTGAAGGGGGTGAGGGTTACACCCTCATTTACCACATTGGGTGATACCTGATCTAGTGATGTCTGGTTTATTCACAAAATCAGGAGGGAGGTAGATCAAGGGTAGGAAGCTACCAGGAAAAAAAAGCATACAGCAAAACAGTTAAATTAATTTATCAGCAGACAAATTAAAGGGACATAATCACATTGTGTTTTTTTAAATACCCTTTTTAGGCTGGACTGTTAGTCCATTGGGCAGATGAAGTAGAGTTCATCTGTTTCCCTGAACTCTTCATATGAAGGGATAAAGTGGTTAGCACTATGCAATAATGTGGTGAAAATAGAAAAATAAAGGCCATGCTATAGTTATAGGAAATAAAACAATCAATGATAAAATGGAGGTATAATGTAGGTTATGAAGTGAACAAGTGTATAGTCACAAAGGACAAAGTATTAGATTTAATGGTTAACATAAGTGATGTATACAAAATCAACAAAGTTGTACATTTCCATGAGACCAACAATAAATCTATCAGATTTAACTCTACAATCTGTTTCAAATTGTGTGAATAATTTTTCAACTTCTAAAAGACATAATGTAAAAATATATGTAAAAAAGAATGTAAAAATATATGTAAACTATGTATCAAATGAAAGTAAAAAAAAAAACAGCATTGACACACCTTTACCAAAAACAAAGAATGACAACAGATATAAAAGTTAACTCAGTTTTAAAAATAACTTAAGAAAATTAACAACAAATTTGCATTGTTTCTGTTTATTTCAGGGAAATAAGACGCTTGAGTTTCTTTAAATTACAAATTGCATTGCTGTTTTTGATGGCAGTTTTGGCAGTCTTTCTTGTAAAATTACTACAAAATTAACATGTATTTTTTCAACATTCTGATTCTCATGCGATGGATTAAGTTTTAACATACTTGGATCTTTTTCTCATTTATTTTAATTATGCCTGAATATATCCAGTGTTTAGGTCCACAGTCTTTAGGTCCACTCTATGGCTCAACCCAGTCTTTAGGTCCACTCTATGGCTAAATCCAGTCTTTAGGTCCACTCTATGGCTAAATCCAGTCTTTAGGTCCACTCTATGGCTAAACCCAGTCTTTAGGTCCACTCTATGGCTAAATCCAGTCTTTAGATCCACTCTATGGCTAAACCCAGTGTTTAGGTCCACTTTATGGCTAAATCCAGTCTTTAGATCCACTCTATGGCTAAACCAAGTCTTTAGGTCCACTCTATGGCTAAATCCAGTCTTTAGGTCCACTCTATGGCTAAACCCAGTCTTTAGGTCCACCTTATGGCTAAATCCAGTCTTTAGATCCACTCTATGGCTAAACCCAGTCTTTAGGTCCACTCTATGGCTAAATCCAGTCTTTAGATCCACTCTATGGCTAAATCCAGTCTTTAGGTCCACTCTATGGCTAAATCCAGTCTTTAGATCCACTCTATGGCTAAACCCAGTCTTTAGGTCCACTCTATGGCTAAATCCAGTCTTTAGGTCCACTCTATGGCTAAACCCAGTCTTTAGGTCCACTCTATGGCTAAACCCAGTCTTTAGGTCCACTCTATAGCTAAACCCAGTCTTTAGGTCCACTCTATGGCTAAACCCAGTCTTTAGGTCCACTCTATGGCTAAACCCAGTCTTTAGGTCCACTCTATGGCTAAACTCAGTCTTTAGGTCCACTCTATGGCTAAACCCAGTCTTTAGGTCCACTCTATGGCTAAACCCAGTCTTTAGATCCACTCTATGGCTAAACCCAGTCTTTAGGTCCACTCTATGGCTAAACCCAGTCTTTAGGTCCACCTTGTGGCTAAAACCAGTCTTTAGGTCCACTCTATGGCTAAACCCAGTCTTTAGGTCCACTTTATGGCTAAACCCAATCTTTAGGGCCACTCTATGGCTAAACCCAGTCTTTAGATCAACCCTATGGCTAGAGCCACCTTCTCATTAGATCCACCCTCTGACTAGACCCCCCCCCCCCCTGTCTTTAGATCGACCCTATGGCTAGATCCACCTTTTCTTTACATCTACCCAGTCATTAGGTTGACCTATTCTATAGCTCTACTTACACCACAAAATGCTAACACACAAATAAATAGTTATGTGTTGAAATACAATAAATTACCCATAACTTAATGGAGACATTGACCAATGTTTAAAAACAAACCTTGAGATCTAAAATATAAAAATTTTAAAAATATTTTTTTGAAAACCCTACTTTTTAACTTGTATTTTGTTTACTGGCATACATAAGTCAAAAAGCTTGAAACATTGTTATTGAGATGTAAGTACGATCAACATGAAGCCATCTAGTACTAAATAAAGACAGAAACAAAACTGTTTCAACCCACATCATCATAGTGGTTCTCATGTACATCATTTAAAACATGTCATTCAATGGACCCTGAGAAAAATAATATAAGCGACAGTTGGGGGAAATTTGTTATCATACATTTAGTTATAAATTTTAGAGTCACATATTTAATATTTTACAATATAAGTCCAAATTTGGGATTAAATTTATATATTGTGTGTTTATCAGGAGATATTTGCAGGTGTGAGAACAAAAATATTTGTTCCTATACGGCATTCTAATAGGTATTTGAGACCTGATGATAAATAAATTCATCTTTTGGCAACTGAATTTGAAGTAGATGAGTGACCAGTAAAACTCCCCAGCTGAACCTAGTACACATTTTAAATGGAAACAGAGCTTTAATGTAACTAATATGCTCTCTCTTTCTCTCTCCAGCACAAGTTTCAAATGGAAACAAGGCTTTGAACTTTTGCAATCACTCTTTTTCTTTCCTTAATCCATGCACACCACAACATGGTAATAAACCCAGGACACATTTCAAATGGAAACAGCTTTTCGTTTAACTCTTGTGCTATCTCTCTGTCTCAGTCATTAATCCAGGCACAGGTAAAAAAAAACAACCTGGAAACAGCTTTTCGTTTAACTTTTGTGTTCTTTCTCACTCCTAAATCCAGGCACACCAAAACGAGATAAATCTAGCATTTTTCCCACTGATATTTTTAGCTACCAGATTTAAGGGATCCCCCCAGTCTTTTACTCCCTACCCTGGTGCATTACCCCACTTAGTTTGTAGATAGGGGATGGTGGCTGTAGACTAAATAAATCTTTAGTCTGGGATTACACCCTCCTTATTGCAAATGTGTTAAATGATGTATAATTTAATACAACTTAACTGCATACAAAAGGTAAAACTATTGCTAATATAATGAGGTACCCAGATGATGATTAAATTAATGTTAATTAAATAAATGGTATACATAAGATTACTTATAACCTTAATTAATTAAACATAACATTGGGTTACTGATAATTACATGATAGACACATAATAAGCATACAAGCTATTGCTACTGTATTCAATGAAAGAGGTATTATGATAAAACTGATGAATACACCTCTATGACATCAACACTTTGCAGGACTTAATAAATTGCTTTACAAAGATAAATAAAAGGTTATATCCCAACTCCCATTGTGAATGATACATATTTACACTATTGAATTTACAGAAAGTCCTATAAAACTATAATTCAAACTTGATTTCTTTTTTTTAGAATTCCCTTTTTTAATAAACACTTACAGTTAAATATTGTATACACTTTAAAATTTGAGAATTCTACACAGGTAAAGGTTAAAATAAAACAATGTTTTGCTTTCACTTAAATTACCACCATGAGATTTTAAAAATTTAGCATCTTGAACATGTATCTGCTTTTTAAAAAATACTAACAAAGCCAAGTTATCTCAGTATTGTTAAAATAAATTCAATATAAATTATCACAGAACAAGACATTTTGACACTCCCGTGTTAAAAAATCTGGCCAAACAATTATCTGAAAAAGATTTTATCCCAAGTCATCACAGCATTGCTTTTTTCTACCACAAGTATGGCAAATGAGTCCCAGTATTTCTGCACTTAGATCTCTTAGGGTTTTTCATTCATCCATATTCCCTTTCTAACAGGCAAGAGATTAGCTAACAACTGAACTTGCCAGTTTGGACATCATTGTTTTTTTTTTAAAAAACAACCCAGGTTTATTTCCAAATGTTAAATCCCTATGTTATGAAACAATGTCAGTCAGGAGTTTCTATAGATAATGCTGGCACTACGACTTTGGGCAGATCTATGGAATCACTTCCTTTAAGCCTGACCTTGACCTCAGACACACCAGGGTCTGATTGCTCCTCAGCAGAAGAGTGAGGCTGCGAGTCATGGTCGTTACTTTGAATTGAATAGGAAATATTGCCGTACTCTTGTAAGCACGGACACAGCCCAAGCAGGAACTGGCAGAAGTCTTTACGAATGCCAAACCACCCTGAAATTGATAGGTGACAAGTCACTTTTATGTTCAGACTAATATGTATTCAATTTTTTTTTCTAATTAAAAATTTAAAATATTACTATGTGCAAGTCAAAATTTGATTTACTGGTAGAGGATCAAAGTTTTCACTTACAGCAGTTCCCTCCCTTAGCTCCAAAAGCCAAACAAATAAGAGATATAAGGGAGATAATCAAAGGTATTGCCACTGTGATGAAATCAAAGTCATTGATTTCATCGAGTCGATTTGCAAGCAGAATCTATAAATTACAACAACAAAAAATATCTATTTAAACAATTACATCTTAGTTTAAATACATTTTTTTTTAAAAGAGCAAAATATTTAAAAATTATAGCAGTCAAATACAAACCTCAAAGACAAGTAATGGGATGACTAGGAATGAGTAGCCAATGGCTGTAGAAACATTTCCTCGTCTCTGCTCACTTAGTATATCAGGAGAACGTATGAGAATAATGGCAAGGGCCACAGCATACAGTACGCCAATCATGGCAACGCACATTATAATCCATATGGGGATAAACACAATCTGAAATTAGGAATATGAAATATTAAATCTAAAATGAACAATAAGAGAGTTAAAAGAAGAGCCCTTAAAAATATATACAAATAAGAAGGAAATTAAGAGAGTTTAAAATAATAGTGAAGTAAACTATTTGCTGTTCTGACAACTTAAATTGAAAAAAGATTGCTTGTAAAACTGCAAGGCTGGAGCAAATAATTATAAAGGATTGTATTATGGTTCTAATATAGATTTTAATCACCAATTTAACTAGGATCAACTGGTTAGAGAGGAAAGCAATAAACAAAATTGAAAGTAAATAAATTATAAAGTAAATAAAGTATAGATTTTTTTCCAAGACAAAAGTAAAAAGAAAATGAGAATCATTCATATACTTCAATAGTTGAAAAATGAGAATTATATTTCTATTTTTAGTTCAGTGCTCATAACATATTCCATTTCCAATTACTAAATAATAGTCTACCCAGTAAATTACTGAGCTGTTTGGCATCACTGAGGGTGCTACTACCTAAACTGTAATATAAGTGATGGGTTTTTATTATCATATCACATTTGTGTACACGACATATGCGGCAGGTGAAGTCAAGTTTATCTTATTCAATGCTTTTGGAATACACTGGGATAGGGTGGTCAGCACTATACCTAGCACCTTGGTTTTCCTAACATGTCAGGTACCCATTACAGCTGGATGGAATCAGGGTCACCCTACAGACTCAAGCCCGGGTTCCAGACTTGACTTTCAGTTTAGCATTAGCAAGCTCTACCATTAGAATTAGACCATGTTGATCCTTTTATTTTTATAATTAAAGAGAGTCAAATTTACAACTAAAAGTTTAACTGTATCTAAGACTTACCACCCAACTCCAGACAATGATCTTATCAAACCTCAAAGCAAGGAAGATAAACTGTAAGATATTCACAGAACAAAACAACTCCAGCTGTAAAATAATGAAAATTATTTATAGCTTAAATAAGGCATAAAGATAGAAATTATTTTTCTTATTTAATCAAGATAGAAGGTAAGGTCTACACTTTTATTCTAACTGTAAAGTATTTCAAAACTTTGTTTCAGACATTTTCACTTCTATTCAAATATTTAAAATAGCATGTTTTTGAAGCTATTGGGCCTACATTTTCATTATATTAAAAAAACATTCCAAATTTCATTTAAAACATTTTCACTTTTTCTATTCAAATATTTAAGTTCATGAAAAACAATCAAAATGTTTAGCTTTTGTATGTAAAGTTCAGTCAAGAAGAAACTCCAAAAAATAACCCTTCATGTCTTGGCAATCTAGTTAGTGTTTTGACAATAATTTATTATGGCAAAATTCTCATTGTTTGATTATATTAAATAACTTTAAAATGATCAAATATTGTTGGTATAAAATGTCTTAAATACCCAAAAATCTCACGCTTGAGAATAAATGTCTGGTAGCTGAACAGTCTGGTTACTGGTCACACAATTTCATTTATAGAAATAAAATAGTTGAGTAGAATAAAGAAATGAAGCAATCTCTGAATAATGAAAACAAAACCAAGAACATTACCTCGCATGAGCGATCATTCTTGACGCACCATATACAGGCTCCAATACAGAAGACAGACAAGACGAAGAGGGGGATGAAGACGATGAGCCAGTTGTGGCCGTCAGACTCCAGGTTGATGACAACAAGCAGTTCAAACATGAGCAGAGCCAGGTGCTCCCCGCAGGATACAATCATGGCTTTGTACTGGGTGCTGCTGCCTGCTTCCTGCCTGGGATCAACACATCCAGTTATTCTAGGTGAAATCTGATAGTAAAGTACACTTTTTCCAAACCTGATGGTCCATATGCAGGCGGAGTAGAGTTCACCTGTTTCAGTGACCTCTGATCATGAAGGAATCGAGGTCAGGACTATGTTCAATCGCCTTTACGTTCCCTAAAATGAGTCAGGTACCCATCAGAACTGGGTGGACTCTGGGATGTTGTGCTGAAATGAACCTGGAACTCAAATAGACTATCGGGTTACCATCCAACCATACCATCCCACAGAATTGCATATGAAAAAGAGAATTACGCATGTTTTCACAAATAACATCATGTATTTTAATTTTTGACTGTGTGATGCTATTTACAACTAACCAGCATAATATTTATAATAATTAAATGGTTGTTATGTACATTTAATGAAAGATGTCTCACTAAACTAATTTATTCAGTATTTTGACGATACATAAGTGTTACTTAGTAAATCAACCATTTCTGTTTGCCTGAATTTTTTTCTGACAGTCTATTATTTTTTTAAAATATACCTATCTCACTTATACTGAATGAACATTAGATACTGAATTGCATATGCCTACAATTTTAAATCAAATTATAAGACTAGGTGATTTACTATAACAGAGATGGCATAAATTGATTCCATATTAACTATATTTCTAGGTCTGTTCATTCTTCTTTAATAATTTATCCTTACGGTCACAGCATTGTTGAAGGGTAGAACGTACGACTGCTCTAATTATATTTCTGAGCCTCTTATTTCTTTGTATCCTTATTGGGACTGCATGGTCGAGTGGTACAACTTACAACTGCTAACCTGAAAGTCTTGAGTAAGGATAACAAGCTTAAGGCATTCCTGTGTCCAGCTAACTGTGTTGGGTACCTGACTCACTTTAAGGAAACTAAGGAGTTGAGCATATTGCTGGCTACACTGTATGCTGAAGTCACTGAAACAGATGAACTCTTCTTCATCTGCACCATGTGTCTGCGGCACGAATGGTAAAGATGATGATGAACTTATCCTTATACAGCTTTTACACATAATAAACAAGTGTACCTGTATTGTGGGTTTCGCAGCCACACTGAGCTGCCCACCAGAGCGCCAACCAGTACAAGCAGCTTCCACACCCAGATGGGGAAGAAGACAAACCAGTAGCTCCATTGAATGCTTTTATCAAGACGTAGGGAGAACAGAATTGTGAAGACCAGCAAACAGGTGAAGACTACAAATTTACTGAAACGTAAAAAAAAAATTCATATATAAATAAAACAAAACAAAACTTTTTTAGAAAGAAAATGTGCTTATATAGCATTTATTGAGAGGGTTCTGATAACTAAGACATAGTTTTCATCATTAATTACAGTGACAACAATAGCTACACATTTTTATATTAATTTGTTCAAATGTAATGTTTTATTGCTATTTATTTAGGCTATCCACCAAGATTAGAGATTAAAATAAAAATGTTCTTACATCAACAACCTTAAAAATAAAAATTAAAGATAGAGCTAGTTAAGGAACCTGAAGAAATAAACAATGCAGCTTTTTTTTTTATCATGTTAAGTTAATTGACTGATGCACTATCTATTAACCTTTACCATAATTTTTATATTTAACTTGAGGTATCTTTTTACTTTTTACATTGTAAAATAACTTCAGAAAATGTGTTTAAAAAAAAAATACCTAGGGTTAAAATCTTGAAAAAGATTCTTTAAGTTCATATTCAGCACACTTCAGTTCAATTCAGCGCCCAGGAAGATCCAGTAATTGAGATTCATTACTTCTTCACCAGTATCTATGATCTAAAGCACTTCATTGATTTGACTGTATCACATTTTTCCTCATCATATGATTGCTGATTCTTTACAATAAAAGTAGGTAGGCCAGTCTATTTTAGATATAGATGTATATCAACATCATTAAGTAATAAGTAGCCTAGACCTATGTGTAGTATTTTTGTGTAGGCTATAGCACTCTTAATTTAGGCCTATTATACTATTATTGCTTAGGGCTTAGAGTTAGAGTGATTTAGAGTTTATATTTAACTCAATGACACTCAATGCAACAAACCTGCTGGTTGGTTAAGGCCACGCAGGGGGCTCATTATGACAGGTATTCAAAGTGTTAATAGTTATTTAATATTTAGTTAAGCCTATTATTAGTTAATAATTTAATATTAGGCCCTAAGTAAAATAATTAAGTATGCCTAATTCTAAGCTAAGGCTAAGTCTGTATGGCACTGTATGCACTAACGTGACTAAGTAAAATAAATAGATAGCCTATTTGAGGCCTATACACTACCTACACTACTACAACTGTCTACAACACTACCCATATGATACATTCAGTACTGAATCAGACAGTAGGCCTGCTGTTAATCAATCAATCTGAAATTCTGAATGTTTGTTTACTGTTTGTTTAGTTTACCAGTTGCAGCTGAGTTGGAGTTGTCTCAGTTGAGTTTACCAGTCCAATGATGACGTCTAAAAATAAAATGATTTCACTGTTACTCACTGTAATTTATAAGAAGTGAAAATTATTCAAAATATTAACATAGATCTAATCTAGATTTCTAGATTCTATTTGTTGTTATGTTCTGCTTTAGCAGCTTTATTAATATTTTAATTCTAGTTCTACTGTAAATAATATGTGTAATCTTTATTTTACTGCTTAATGGCTTGATCAAAAGATAAAGGTAGATCTAGTTACCAGCTACACACGTTTTGTTACATTTAGGCCTACATCTTGAAATTAAGTACTAGACTAGATTCTCTAGATCTAGATCTAGATCTAAGTATCTAAGCCTTAGATTCTAGGGCCTCTGCGATAAGACATAATGCTAAATAACTGGATCTAGATTCTAGATAGAGAAGAATGAGTCCTACTCTCTTAATTTTAATCAATAGATCTAGTAGAATCTATTCTAGAATCTAGTCAAGATCAAGAGAGAGAAATATAGTATATTGCAGAGAAGCATTGACAAAAAATTCCAGCCAGCTAATTTTAAGTGAATAACACAGCATCTCCAAAAACAGCTTCGTTATTATTTTCCTAGTTGTTACGATTAAACCATGTTTATCTAGTACTAGATCTAGATAATCTAGATATGGATCTATTATTCTATATTTACTATGAGATTGCTATTAAAATGGGCGTAACGCAGTACTTTTATGTATCTCTTAAGGAGACTGCCCCGACCCCCCCCCCCCCACCAAAACGAAATAACATTTTATGTAAAAAAAAAAGTTTTAAGTGCCCCCCCCCCCCCGGTATTAGATCTATATGTCTGAAAGAAACACTGCACACACACACACACAAAGAGGAATATGAATGCTAAAAATACAAGTTATGTGCCTAATATTTTGGACTAAATTAGAAATAATAAAATTCTTTAGCGCAGCTTTGGACTTTTTTTTACTTTAGGCTCCTAAATTTGGCCTAAATACTTTCTATTAGTTAAATTAATAAATACGGCCTAATTAATACCAAGCTTTTGCCTTTTGGTTTGCGTAAACTTGAACATCTCTTCCCTTTTTTTTTATTTTGGCGCTTGATGATATTCTTGCATTTTGGCAATTTTCTAAATATTTTGATTTGGTCAATCTTTATTTCAGTTCTGCTAGGTTTTAGCCTTGGCCTGTCGGCATCTTCCGAAAATTATTTCAAAATAGTTTGTCTGTTACTAGATCTAAATCTAACGTGGGCCTACTGTGCTCAGTGACTGACTGAGTGTGCTGTGTAATGTGTAAGATCTAGAAAGATCTAATCTAGATCTAGATTAGGCTATACTATACACTATACAATAGTCTGGCGCATTGCTTAGATGGTAGGATTGACCTCTGACCCTGAAACGTCACGCGTCGTTTTCTGACGGGTTTTACGTTTATTTTAGGGGTCCCATCCACGACAAATGAAAAAACTGTTTATATCGCAAATTCTCATCATTATTTTAATGCAAATTGCTAATAAAATGGATAATATGCCTTAGAATGCCAGAAAAAATCGCAAGATTCGTGGTTGTAAATAATGAGAGGATGTCTAGTGGAGCACTCTCCGTAAAAACTGAACCGCCGCCAAAAACGACCGACTAACGGGGAAAACGGCTCGACTAACTGTACATTAATATATAATTGATATATTTATCATGTATATTTACAGTATTTTTGATTACTTTTTCCAAAATCTCACTCGAGGATGAGGTACCCCCGCTGACATTTCTATCCGCTATTTTTAGTATCATGACGTCATTGTTACGCTAGTTACCTCACAGAAACAACTAGTTTTTGTTTTTTGCGGAATGAACTGTTAAATCTAGTATTTTAATTATAATTCAATTGTAGCATGTGCGGAAAAAGTAAAATTATGGACATTATTATTGTATTAGTAATTTTATTAGTATATTGATTTTTTTCTTCACTGTGGGCCGACAGTTGCTGCATTCGTGACCGGTGGTTAACCTCGTCAACGCTGCGTGGCCTATTCGTTTATATAATCAGTGATGCTCGTTCAGTGGCCTTTTTCAAAGCTAGGCCTAATTACGGGCGATTTTTAGACTTAATTGATCGGCCGTTAGCCTTTTTCATTGCTGCGTATTTTAAAAAATGCTCGTTCAGCGGCCTTTTTTTTGCGCTAAATAATCTGTTTACGGGCATTTTAAACGTTTATTTATTTATTTTTTTTAAGCTAGACGTAGATCGAGTTTTAAAAAAAATAATTTTTATACAGCTGGCTGTCTAGCATGCCTGATAATGATATGTGAACTTTTAAAAAAATGACCGAACTTTTAAAAAAATGTCCAGAAGTAGGGAAGTAGGTCTGTTTTTCAATTTGCTTGAAGAAGGGGGGGGGGGAGAGAGAAGTGAAGACACCGACCATCTCGTGTATGCGTGTTCATTCTATGACGTGTACTATAGGCCTGCTGAACTCACGGTGACCTGCGACCGTGGTGGGATTTTTCATCCACAGGATAGTAAACGTAAGCAAGCAATCACGCGAGTGACGATGTTTGGAGATTTTATTTAAAAAAAAAAATCACTTACGTCATGTTTTCAAGATGAAAAAAAAATGTAATGTAAAAAAAAAAAAAAAGACACTAATACCATGTATGAACCTCAGCTGCCACACTGTTGACTCAATATAAAGTGATTGAGTGTAAAATGTATTTTTATTTATAAACTATCTTAACTATTACACTATCATATTATTTTATGCATATATTATTTAAAATTAGGATTTGAAATAAAAATATTTATTATGTTCATTTGATTTATGCAGGTGCTCATTATTTCATAAAATGGTATGAATAACATGTAGAGTAGAATTTAATAAATAATAAAATAACTAGATCTAGATAGTTTTATTATCAACCAGTTGCTTTTTGTTCAGTTGCTTTTTGTTATTTTCCGGTGAGTAAATAACCTAAGCTGACGCAATTACCATGGCGGGAATTAATAGCTCGTGTACACACGTCCACGACGTAATGTTATGCCGGTCGAGGGGCTAAAACGCGGTTTTGTCTTTCATTTTCCAATATCGGAAAAATTTCAAATTCTCTCTTTTCTCGTCAACCGAGTAAGCTAGATATTTAAATGTGGTGTCAAATGTTCTCTTAAGGGGTAAGGAACTTAATGGTGTATTTGAAATAACAGAATATTTTATTTTAAAAAATCCATAATTCAACCTACTATACAATCTTGATCTAGTCACTAGTTTAGTCTGTATAGTGTATAGTATAGTCAGTAGTAGTAGTAGTAGTCAGTACTAGTCTAGAGTACTCTAGCTAGACTAGATCTAGACACAGTCTAGAGTCTAGTCTAGTCTAGCTAGAGTCTAGAATTTAGTCTAGATCTAGATTTCTAGATCTAGATGTGATCTAGATCTAGAGATCTAGATTCTAGTACTTTCTAGTAATAGTAATAGTAATCTAATAGTATAGAATAAATCTACTTAGTGAGTGTCTGAGTCATAATAATCACGATTAGACTAGCATTAGAGATCTAGATTAGAAATCTAGATCTAGAGATCTAGATCTAGTAATTTTTTTAGTTAGAACTAGTCTAGCTAGGCTGATACTGATAGAGCTAGATCTAGGTAATCTCATGTCTCATGATATAATTATCTGGTAGATCTATAATGTTTGTCAAGTTTCGGTAACATTCGCTACTGTAAACCATAGTTTATTTGACCGTTGAAATAAAAATATAAAATAAAGTCAAGTGCGTTAAATTAAGGCCAATGCTAGCCGGAAAAAGATATGCATGCGCAATGGAGAGAAACTATGACTTGCCTTTGCGGACAGCATGCGTGTGTTTACAACTGCAGATCCCTAACCCTAAGGCCTAATCCCATCCCTAACCCTAGCCATAGGTCACTGCCCATGCGCAGAACTATCTTTTGCCCACTAGGTGGAGATGTTGGGTCGAAAAATCTTTTTCGGAGTAGTCACTTTATTAAATTAATGTTTTAACTTAATTTAATGTTTAATTGATAGAAAATTAGCAACAATTAGTAAATCTTAATATTAATAAAGTCGAGTGTAGTAATTCTTTTTTTATTAAATAAAATAAACAGAAACAAACTTGCAGAAGATTTGCGACAACTAGATCTATCTAGTTGGTAAAATAAGACGATATGCCTAGATTTACTAAAGTTATAAGTAGTAAGATGAACTAGAACAATGTTTAGTAGCAGCATTAATTAGCACATACTTGACATACACTTAAAATAATTAGAAGTACAAAATAATTAGCAAAACGGTATTTAAAATGCAACTAAAATCAATCCATGCACATTTTAAAACATTATGTATTAAAAATAATGTGGCGGCAAATAAATGTTGGTTTACAGTATTTCCTGTGGTTTCCGGAACGGCTTGGCAGACTATGCCATAGTTTTACTGTAAGTAAGTTAGGTATCCTTTAGAGCTGGGTGGACTCTGTGATGTTTTACTGACTTGAACCCAGATTTGAACTCAAGACTTTGAGTTAGCAGTCTAGCGTCCTACTGCTAGGCTTTCATCCTCCAATATTTATTAACGTCCATTATTTTTTATTATTTTAAAAACTTACCATGAATTAATATCGGTAATTATATTTCTTACATAATCACCAGAAATTTGTGTAAATGGGGAGGTCATCTAAGGATAAAAGAGATGTCTATTACAGAAGAGCTAAAGAAGAAGGATGGAGGGCTCGTAGTGCATACAAGCTTTTGCAAATTAATGATGATTTTAATATATTTGAAGGTTTGTATTTGTTTTTTAATTTCTATATACTATATATATATATATATATATATATATATATATATATATATATATATATATATATATATATATAAAACACAATTGTCCTTATCTGAATGATCAATAAAAACAATACTACATCTTTATTATTATAAACGCACGCTATCTAGATTATTAAATTTGCAGTATTTTAACAACTACATTGAGACATTAGTAACAATTTAGCATTTGTATCCTCAAAGTCAGCTCACCCCACACCCTTTATGTCTATCACATTAATAATACTCTACTCTGATAATCAAAACAACATCAATAATGTTTATAAAATATCAATTTGAATATGTACCTGTACCTAGCATTACATTTTTTTATCATTTGGAAATTGGACGCAGGTGTGACTAAAGTTGTCGACCTGTGTGCTGCACCAGGCAGCTGGAGTCAGGTATTGGCAAAAAAACTGAGGTAAACTTTTCTAAGTTCACATCACCTTTTCCTGTAACTCTGCGCTGTTGGGTTTTACAGCTGTTTTTTTTTAATTAAGTAAGGTTACCAATAGCTTTAATATGTGTGTTATGCCAAGATAAATTTAGGACACTGTTTACCAAACACAAAATAAAATTATATTAATAGCAGCACTTAAATTTCAACTTATGTAAAAAGATGTAATAAGCACACCATATAAGAGTGTTTGCGAAGCATCACTTACAAATTAAAAAACTTTTTTTTATGTTTGTTTTGTTTTTAATTATGAATTTTGGCTCTCATCATCATCATTGGTATTTCCTTGTATAACACTCAATGGGGGGGGGGGGGGGAGGAAAGGGGGGAGGGGGGTTCATGTCCATGCATTATTGACTGTGAGCCTCTAGACCTGGATGCATTTTGAATTTTTCTTGTATGCTACAAAAACTTCCATTTTATAGCTCTTCAGATAATGATTGTTCAGCAATTTTAAAAAAATGCAAATATTAACAGGGGTGATTCTGGAAGTAAATCTGATGCCAAAATAGTTGCTGTGGACCTTCAAGCCATGGCCCCTATACCAGGAGTGATTCAACTGCAGGGTGATATCACCAAGGTATGTCACATTTCCATATCATTGTGTCGAATAGAAAACTATTTTTACACCATCTGCATTAGTAATTGAGCAAAAAATAAGCATTGTGTGCCTGATTTTAAAAATTATCAGTTTTACTGGTGTATTTATTTCTTATTTTAGGCTTAAATTTCCCTTATCTATATATAAGCTGCTGCATTGAGCTTAAAAACAAGTGTAGGGTTTACAGAGCTTAGTTAATAATAAATTTATTTTATTTATAGAAAAAAGGAGCACTAAACCTATATATATATATAAATTGTTGAAACATATATTGATTGAGTTTGGTTATTTGGTTTGATTTAATTTTGTTTCAAAGAAATCAACTGCACAAGCTATAATAGGACACTTTGATGGGGAAGAAGCAGATCTTGTTGTTTGTGATGGTGCACCAGATGGTAAACTATAACCTAAGACTTTAATTTTATTTAAACCTTCCTTTTTTGTTTGGTATACAAATGTGTTTTGTTATCTTTAGTACTGTATTCAGTAAACAGAGATAGCCATTTGATAAGCTGCATCTGAAAAATACCCAAATATAATAGAATGAGAAATTTTAAAAATCTTAAAAAAAAAAAAAATCAACCTCTCAGTATTTAAAAATGAATATAACTTACATTGTTTTAATGATAAAGAATTATCTATTCAGCAATGTGTAACCAAATATTCTGTTTGTTTGAAATTCAATAGTATAATAGCTATTTCCTTTTGATACATTTTTTATCACCAGTGCATTAAGTTTCCTAATGTTTAAACACCCCAAGTACAACATTATCCTCCCTTGATAAATACACCCATGGTATTTAGAAATGTATTAAATATGATACCCTAGTTATATTTTTCACTTTAATGCACTTCGAGTCAATGTAATTTTAAAACTTTAACTTTTCAATTTTTTAAATTTTCCTCAGTTACTGGCCTTCATGATATTGATGAATACATTCAGGCACAGCTTCTACTTGCTGTAAGTGAAGATCTCCATACAAAAATGTTACATATAATTTATTTTGTTGAATGATTTTTAAAAAGAAAACCTTTTATATTGAAATTCGAGAACAAGGAAATGTTAAAAAATAAACATACTTTTTTTAGATTCACTTTACCATATAGAACATTTGAAAGCATTAGTGTCATTACATTACTGTTTAATTTTTGTTACCTAATTAAATGTTTATCAATGTAAGCAACTGGTTTTAGTTTGTGGAATTATAGACGTTTTATCAAGTATTACTGAAGCTTTTTAAATACTTTTGAATAGCTGTTTATTACTACACATAATTTTTAACTGTGTTAAACTATTGTATTCATTTTAAAAGGCATAATAGTAATTTGAGTTAAATTCAAACTGTTTGTTTCTCAAATTGTGAAGGCAAATAAAAGAAACAAAATATATGTCTGTAGCTTGTCAGATGGATAAAAATATAAAACTTCATGATTGTTCAAGTAATAAAATTATAAATATTTTTATTTTAAACTGTATTATTGTTCCTACCTTACAGGCTTTGAACATAACAACACATGTCCTAAAGAAAGGAGGGACATTTATAGCAAAAGTAAGTAAAACTCACCCTAAGATCTGTAAAAAAAAATAGATCACATCTTGAGAAATACTAGCTAATTCAAACATTTCATCCCAGATACCCATTTTAGTTCCTCAGAATGCATTTATTTCTAGTTAACGCTGAAAGCTGATTGTGTATTTGTCTTACTTCCCTTTATACTAAAAAAAAAAAGATTTATTCCCTTTTACCATAATTATTGTTTGAATTAGTTTTAATTTAGAATACATTAATCAACTGCCTAGTTTTATAAAGTGGAAATAATTTTTAGTGTTTTCCTGATCCATTATGTTAGTTTACAATGATGTTACACAACTAACCCTTCATTATTTACAAAGTAATTTATTTTTTGTTGAACATGTACAAATGTATTTTAAACATAACTTTATTATTTGTATTTTGTTCCAGATCTTTAGAGGAAAAGACGTAACTTTACTGTATTCACAACTTAAAATATTTTTCCCTCTGGTCACTGTTTTTAAACCACGTAGCAGTAGGAATTCAAGCATTGGTGAGACATTATTTATTCAGTAAATTATATTTGCTTTTAAGTTTTAATAAAGTAATTGTTTTTGGGCAAATTAATATGAAGATGTCATTTCAGTGTTTATATTTAATATCAGTTCTTTCAAAGGTGTTTCTATATTCAAAGTAGGTTGTGAATTAAAACTAAGTTTCTTTATCTATTACATAAATATAATTAAATATTAATATCGTAATACTAATCTTTTAAATTTTCTTATGTGTTGTTCTTCAAATAGAGTTTTAAATTTAAAGTTAGAAATGATATTATACAATGTTAGCGTAATCAAAGTAGTGGACTTCCACATTAATGCTTACCCCATTATCTAGGGCTCAGATCCTGTGCTAAAGTCCATCCAGCTCTGATGGGTACCTGACACAAGTCTGGGAAAGTAAAGGCAGCTACACATAGAACTGACCACACTTTTATTTTGTATTCAAATGTCACAGGAGTAGGTGAATTCTACTTCTCCTGTCCTATTGGCTATCAGATCCAAAAGAGAAATCTTTGCTTGTATTTCTACTAATTATTTAAAAAATTTAAGAACAGGCAACTTTGCGTTCAACAGGGTCAAATGCTGTCTGACAAATTTTCTCTTGTCAATTGCTCATTTTTCCTGCATGGTGTTTTTAAAGTGAATAGTACATCACTTTCACATTCATTTAATATGTATAATGTTCAGTATTAAATCAGTGTTCTGCCTTCTATTAAATCAATGTTCTGCCTTCTATTAAATCAATTTATTGCTACATCCATCTAAAAGGAAGATAAGGAGCCAGAGAAATGTGTCATTTTCTTCTTCTTCTTGGTCACTATGAGTAACTGCATTTATTTTAATAAATTAATTGATGCACTACTGTTAATGTTAATGTGAGGATAGTTTTGAAGTTACAATAACAAAAATATAATATTTTCCCCAGAGGCATTTGTGGTCTGTCAGAATTATTCCCCTCCTGAAGGGTACATTCCTAATATGTCAAATCCTTTATTGGATCAACATTATGGTATGCTGTTTGAAATTTTTTTTTTTAAAGTTTTAGCAGTAATCTTATGTATATTTTAACTAGAAGATTAGTTTTGAATCAGTTTCATCTCCTTCAACTTTAAAAAAACAAAACAAAAAAAAACGTCTGATTTCATTGAAATAATAGTGAATTGTTTTAATAATTTGTCATTTTATTTGTTTTAGAGGTTGATTTTAAAGATTTGGAAGGTCCAAATAGAGTAATAGTTCCTTTCTTGGCTTGTGGGGATCTCAGTGGCTTTGATTCTGATATGACTTATCCCTTAGAGGTAAGAGCTCTTTGAACTTTTCATGTTAGGTTTCAAGTAGCAATGTTAACACAAATATCTTTATTACTTCCCTTTGTATTAATTTTCGTTGCTTTGGAATGCGTATGTGTATTTTTATTTAATGACGTTTTTTTTTAAAAAAACTATTGTTCCAAAATCTTAATTGTTATGTCTTTATTTAAATTTGTAATCTATATTGAATGTTTAGTTTTAATGTGAATTTGCAATTGCCGATGTTATATATAAATTGTTTTCCTTTAAATTTTCAGCTAGGACTGGGTGAGGCATACACATATCATGAGCCTACTCAGTCTCCTATAAATCCCCCTTACAAAGAAGCTTGTGAACTCAGGCGAAAAAATAAACTTGTCAAACAAACTGTAGAGATTCAACCTCAGAGCTCTCCAGATTTGAGCAGTCGGTCTACAGGGGATAGCTGTACTGCAACAAGTAACTCTTCTCAGAAATCAGACGAACTTTCTCCAGGTGACATTGCGCTTTGTTCAAAAGTTGATGAGTTGTTGTTACATTAAAAAAAAATTTACGCTCAGTAAATTGTTGTTTGCTTTTTTAAGAATTGTTTCATGTTGTTGTTGTTAAGTTTTTGTTTTCATAAACGCATGTTATTATTGATTGGAGTTGTATTGAAAAATTCTACATTGCGGTCTCAATACTTTGCAAGCTTTACACCTATAATTTCTTGCTTCTTTCTTGTTATCTTGTCTTGACAAAAGTTGTGGGTATATCTCTGCAAAACTTCTGCATAGACAATTCTTAGAAATCTCATAGCTGTATAAATTATTTTTAACATTTTTTTTTTAGCATATAGATACCAATCCATTTTCAAAGTTGCCCCTCTATATAAAATGGGTATTATTTTAAGTACATTAGACAGTTTTTATTGCAAACTCTTAAGATTCTTTTAAAAACTGATAAAACAAAGTATTATGGTTTTGGCTTCGATGAGAACAATATTTTCTGACTTATGAATATGTGTATGCATACTAGCATAAAAATGGCTAGATATACCATAATAGCATTCCAGTTTAATTGCTTGTTAAGGAAATAAAATGAGCACAAGGTTTAATGTCCAGATCTTAAGGGCTAGTTGCCATGATAGGGTCATTTTTAGACCTGGGTTTTTTTCCCCCATCAAATGCCAGTCACAGAAATTGACAAAAACAGAAAAGAAATAAACTGAACACTAAATTTCACCAGTTTACTGATCAGAATAAACAATTGATAAATTGTTAAGAACTTACTATTTTAGTTTTCAACATGGTTCTCATATGAAATAACTTTTTGAGTTGTATGTTACTCATGAAGAAGCTATTTTCATAGTATTCACCGTTTTTTTTTCAAGATAGTATTCATAGTAAACTCAGCTTATATTTAAATGGTATATATTTTTACAGTTTATCTGCAGCTATCAGCTTATACAATGTTATTTTGGGTTATTATTTTGTTTGAATCAGGTAAAACAGGTTTACATGGCTGTTATGATATTTTATTCGAAGCACACAAGTTGAACACTATAAACTTTGATTTAGCTGCTCCAAATTTTTTTTTATAAACAGTGTGTTATATTTTGTAACATTCTGATTGCATATTTATATACAAAAGTGTTGTAGAAAATTCTTTAAATTTATTTTAATAGAATTTTAATTTAAATAGTGATAAATATTTAGAAAGAAAAAGTCTTCACAATTAGATAAAAACTAATATTCATTTATATTCCAATAACAACAAGACAAAATCCTGTTCATGTATATCTTTATTAACTTAAACACCAAAGCTGATAAAATACATTGGAATTTGTGCCGCTGAAATCCGCCTGATTGGATTAAAACAAATTGAGCTCTCAATGGGAAAGTTAGGCTTCTTCCACCAGCTCATAGAATTCTTTCCCATGTCATGTGGTCAGTGTCGAAGCTATTGAGTGCCTTTTGGCTGTAAACATTCTTTGTTAAAACAAACATAATAGAGAGATTCATAGCAAAATCAATATGTGCGATTTTTTTTTTAAACATACATAAAACGCATTGTCCTTTAACTATACTGAGATAATTATTTTACTTCATTGATGAGAACTATCATATAAGCATTAATTATATTATTTGAAGCTAATTATTCTAACTCTGATACTTTCTTACTTGAAGCAATACTTAAATAGCATATTTTAGACATTCAAAAACCAAGGTAGGCTCCGCGAATGGGAACACAAGAAATTGGCATTGTTGTTGGTTGATATACTGGTAACTATGAAATGATGAAGCCTTGATGCGATTGTTAAGGACGTTGTTTGTTGCTACGGGTTATTAGGCATCATTTGAGCCTACATTATGCCTCTTACTTTGTGTGCTTTATCTCAAATCGCATAATTTTAATTATCTTGATATTGTTTGATTTTAATGGTTATTATTACGTAATTCTTACTACTTGATGTGATTAATCTCAAAGCACGCAGTTCTATCTAGATCTAGATATCGTTTAAATTCTGAGTTTGTTTTTACGTGTATTTAAATGTCAAATCATCCAGTTTTAATTAACGAACGGCACACTCTTACTGTACAAAGTATGTGAAGACGACAGTTTTCTAAAACTTCAGCGTCTTGTCTTGGCATATTAATGAAAAGATCTCCAGTAAAGTAGCATAACAAAACATTAGCTCATAATTCATTCGTGTTTATTTGAAATATTTTGAACATTTTAACAAAATGAGCTTCATAAAACTAAGGATGGTAATTTTACAACTGTTATCAATCGACATCGCTACAAACTGCGTGTTTTTATTTTATTTGTGTATTTTTTTCTTACATTCTAATGTAGTCAATATAAGAAGGGGAAGTAAAGCAGTGACATTTCGTCTAGTAATAATAAAAAGACTGTTTTGGTCTACATGTATAAAATCATTTCAATGAAATTGTAAACTGAATATTAAGCAGTTTTGTCAGATAAACTCAGTAGGAGTTTGAGTAAAGGTTAGCGTAATTACCTCGATATAACAAAACAAGCGATGATTTAATAAAACATAATTCTTATAACAGTATGGTTAGTGCTTCACCGCCGCTCTCTTTGCTAAATGAGATAGCTCGTCCATTTCCATTTCAAACTGGCTGTCTTCTTGGCTTGCATCCTCGTCGTTGTCCTTTCGGTCTTTTTCGGTTCCTTGTTTGCTTTTCCCTTCATTGTCATACAGCGTGGGGTTAACTTTGGCAAGTGTGGCATCGTCGTAGTCATTGCGATCACCCGGGTGGGCTGGTTTAGCTTTTAATAACTCCCCCGCGTTATCTGATGTGCCATGCGGCTTTCCCAACAAACCCACCCCGGGCAGATCATCCTCATCCAACTTTATTGATTCAGACTCCACCAGATCCCTGTCAGCTAAATCTCGTTCCGAGAAAGGAAAATTATCCACGCGTCTTTGCTGGGCTGAGGCTTGACCAAAAACGTTCTGATGTATTCCCGATACGGAATGAAGCCCCGTTATAGGATCAGCTCTTTTTTTTACCGTAGAAAATCCAGATTTTCCCCCACTTTCGTTTTTGCTTTCGAGCGCTGTGCCGCTGAGGTTGTTGTAAACGCCCGAATTTTCCGGGCTTCTTTTATCTATGTAGTGCATTAATCTACCCGATGATGATTTGGCATCCCGACGGTGAAACTTGTCGTCTAGGAAGTTTTGGTACATTCCCCCAAAACTAGATTTGGAGCTGATGGGGTCGTAACGTTTGTCGAATCCCTCCATGTCGTCGCTGTCTAGAAAATCATCACTTTTCTTGTCCAAGTGGTTCTGGCGAATTCCTCGCATGGGACCCTCTGCGATGGGGTCGAACTGTCGTTTCTCAATATCATCCATGTCGTATAAATTTCTGTCCAGGTAGTTTTGCCTGAGTCCGGTTAAAGAGTTATCCGCGATGGAGTCGATGTGTCTCTTTTCTGACTGGATTGCGTTGTAGTTGTATTCATCGTCAAAACCATCTCCAAAGCTAATGTATCGTTTATTTAAGTTGTACCCAAGGTTTCGTTTGTTTAAGTGATTCTGGTTGAAACCAGAAAACGCAATGTCCTCGATCGGGTCAATTTTTCGTTTATCCGGAAAATGAAATGGGAATTTGGTGGTGGATTTAAGTGCGTTTCTTTGTTTCGACGCTTTCTTGTCGAGGAAATTTTGATGTAGCCCTGACATCCTATTCAATGCCATTGAATCGAATGGGCGTTTGTCTAAATGATTTTGGTGAAAGTCAGACAAACCATTTAGCCCGATGGAATCAAAAGCCCTTTTGTCCAAAAACTGTTGCCGCAGGCCGGATAATTCGTTCAGGGCTACTGAATCAAAGGGGCGCTTGTCCAAGAAATTTTGATGTAATCCACCCAGCGCGTTGAAGTTAACTGAATCGAAGGATCGCTTGTCCAGAAAGTTTTGATTCAAACCAGACATTCCGTTGGTGGATATGCTGTCAAATGGGCGTTTGCTCAAGTGATTTTGGCGAAAGCCTGACAAGGTGTTATGACCAATGGAATCAAAAGATCTTTTCCCCAAGTAGTTTTCATTGAAATCATTTTCGTCATCAGGGTAAAAATATTTTTTGTCTAGGTAGTTTTGCCTAAATCCGGACAATCCCATTTCGCCTATAGAATCAAACGATCTTTTGTCTAGATAATTTTGCTTAAGCCCGGACAATCTATTTTCGCCTATAGAATCAAATGATCTTTTGTCCAAATAGTTTTGCTTAAACCCGGACAATCCATTTTCGCCTATAGAATCAAACGATCTTTTGTTTAGATAGTTTTGCTTAAACCCGGACAATCCATTTTCGCCTATAGAATCAAACGATCTTTTGTTTAGATAGTTTTGCTTAAACCCGGACAATCCATTTTCGCCTATAGAATCAAACGATCTTTTGTCGAGATAATTTTGTTTAAACCCGGATAATCCATTTTCGCCTATAGAATCAAATGATCTTTTGTCTAGATAGTTTTGTTGAAACCCGGACAAACCATTTTCACCGATAGAATCAAATGATCTTTTGTCTAGATAGTTTTGTTGAAACCCGGACAAACCATTTTCACCGATAGAATCAAATGATCTTTTGTCTAGATAGTTTTGCTTAAACCCGGACAATCCATTTTCGCCTATAGTATCAAATGATTTTTTGTCTAGATAGTTTTGCTTAAACCCGGATAATCCATTTTCGCCTATAGTATCAAATGATTTTTTGTCAAGATAGTTTTGTTGAAACCCGGACAAACCATTTTCGCCTATAGAATCAAATGATCTTTTGTCTAGATAGTTTTGCTTAATCCCGGACAATCCATTTTCGCCTATAGAATCAAAGGATCTTTTGTCCAAATAGTTTTGCTTTAACCCGGATAAACTGTTTTCACCTATAGAATCAAACTTTCTTTTGTCTAGGTAGTTTTGCTGAAACCCTGACAATCCATTTTCGCCTATAGAATCAAATGATTTTTTGTCTAGATAGTTTTGTTGAAATCCGGACAAACCGTTTTCACCAATGGAATCAAATGATCGTTTATCTAGATAGTTTTGTTGAAACCCTGACAATCCATTTTCGCCTATTGAATCAAACGATCTTTTGTCTAAATAGTTTTGTTGAAAACCGGACAAACCATTTTCACCAATGGAATCAAATGCTCGTTTTTTAAGAAAGTTTTGTTTTAATCCTGCTAAACTGTTACTGCCTATTCTATCAAACGCCCTTTTGTTTAGAAAATTCTGTTTAAAATTCGACAGCACGTTTTCCCCGATAGAATCAAAAGGCGTGTCGCCTTCGTGGTGGTGATCTCTTGACAATCTGAAATATCCCCGTGTGTCAAAAAATCGCTTGTTGAGGAAGTTCTGTCTTAGCCCTGTCATTTCGTTCTCGTCAATTGAATCGAACGATCTTTTATGTAGTGAATTGTACTGTCTTTTAACTCTTCGGTTAAGTCTGCTAGATGCTGGATGATACATGCCATTCGCTGCGAAGTTTCGATACGGAGAAATTGAGTTGAAGTTAAAATTGTGTAGTGTACGTTGTCCATTTGACTTCAGTTCTTTTCCGACTCTGTTATTTTTTTGAGCGATGTTCTCTTTGAACTCTAGTGAAATACGTCCGCCCACTCGGGCCGAATCTGTAGCGTGGTTAATGTTCTCATGCTGGCTGGCTCCCGAATTAGAAACGGGTATTCCCGGGGAACTACTTTTACTTTGACCATCTGGTTTACTGCCCTTATTTTCGTCACTCAGACCGTGAAGTCGTCCTTGCTTCCCGCGGTCGGGCGATTCGTATATTGCCCGCCCCAGATCAGAATCGTACCCGCCTAGGAAATCTTTTTGCCCGCGGACGGACCGGCTCATGATCCTCTTTTGGTGGTCTGGTTTGGCTGTTGTTTGCTGTTTTTCGGTGAGTTCTTGGTGGTGTGAGGTGTCCGGTGTTAGCGGCTTGTAGCCTGGTTTAGGCACCGAGGAGGGGGAGAGTAACGTATGTTGAATATGAGCCTCTTCATTTTGTCCAGCTTTTGCTGTGTGTTCTGTTGAGTTTCCAACAACTGCCTGTAAAACGAGACAAAATAAACCCGTGAGAATAGTGTAATAAGCTAGACAATGACAATAAATACGTGAATACTAATAAAAGTAAAGTGTCTGCGCGGAAAGATGATTCCGTCCAGCCTCCTCAAGGCCCTAGACTGGACGGCAAGAGATTTTTGCCAATGCGCAATGATCTATTATGGGCTCTAATTATATATAATATTATATAGACATAAAAATATATTTTATGCATGTTCGTCAAAATCACACTCTCATTGCTAATGCGCGGAGGATTTTTTGTGTGTAAGACTATGATGCATAACTTTAAAACTCCACCCTCTATTCTTTAAAAAAAATTATTTTATATGTTAACTTAGTTTCTTACACAGATTCCCCCCCCCCCCCCCCCCCCCATCTTGCTCTTTCTAAGTTCCACTTTTGAACCTGATGGACCATGGAGCAAATGAATTAGAGTTCACCTGTTTCTGTGATCTCGATGGAAAGGTCATGGTTGCTAAACCGAAAGGCCTCGAATTCGAACCCCAGGCTGAAGAGGCCCGATAACTGGCGACAGCAACCCATCTAGGATAGACAAACCCAAAAGCAAACAACTGCTGCCTTGTAGTCTGCTCTTGGATGGATAAAAACTATGGAAGCAAATCCAAAAAGAAAAGCCCTAAATGTCGCATAACGTGTTGTCACGTAATACTTAATTGTATTGGAGGAAATCCATTCTAACCTCACAGTTAAGAACGAAGAAGAAGAGTAACCTGTGGGCAGATGAAATAGAGTTCATCTGTTTCTGTGACTTGGCATATAAAGAGATACTGTGGTCAGCACTATAACTAGCCGCTTTTACTTTCCCTAAGTTAGGCACCCGACAAAGCTAAGTGGACTCAGGGAATTCTACAGACTCTCTGCGCCTTTACAATACCACTTAACGCCACCGTTTCTTTGTCCTATAGCACGAAACGATCCAGTTTATTAACGTCTGCTTTATATTTTCTGTGCCTGCAATTTGGTTATCTCAAAAAGCTTGTAATTCCATTAGACAAAAAACTATCTAAAATCATCTAACAAGAAATTGTATTTTAAACGCCAGACTAAAATATTTGAATTACTGTAATCTTCCTTTATAAAATGTACGCTTTAAATTATATAGCACACATGTTTATGTAATGATCTACGTTTTCAAAATTTCAAAGTCTAATATATGCAAAAAATCCTATAGTATGTTTATTTCTATGATTGTGATGATCGAATCTTACTTAATTTGTACAGTCTACTGCCCCATCGATCTCACGATAACCTTTTCGTCTAGAGCATAAGTTACACGTTCAAAAACCTTAATACCTCCAGTCTGCCAGTTTACGCCCCAGGAAGAACAGTTTAATCATTCAAACGATCGGCTCGACAACTACGGAATAACTAGTTCTCCGGTATACGCCGGCCGGGCGAGGGGGGGGGGGGGGAGGGAGGACGGAGGACACGCCGGGGGATTTTAGTGTCATGCTGGTACAGGCGTGATGCAACCCTTTCGGCCAATTATTTGTTAGCCAATTACAAGATGTTGAGCACGTTCTCGCGAGCGTACAACTGTTGCACAATTTTCAATGGAAGATATAAAAAGTAACATTATTATGAAGAGTATTTATTATAGGGGAAAAAGAGGGGTTCTCAAGTTTTAAAGTCGGGGGGCAAATGTATACCTTATATATCATTTATGTAATGTAAACTGTTCTTGAATACCAACAACCAAACAGACATCTCATCGCTGTTTAATGACTGATTAAGCATTATCAGGGTGACGCTGTAAAATGTCAGTAGACGAATATGTAAACGTGTTTTAAAAGAAAGTAAAAGAGAGTTTATTCAGCTGTGGTCAGTAGTCAGGGATGGAGGTGTAACAGGGCATGGACCACCGAATTCCGAGTTTTCTCATAATTATTCACAGCTATTGGCGACGGTGGGATCGTATAGTTAATGTTTGAAATTTGAAAATTTTCGCCACACCATAGTTATATATATATATATATATATATATATATATATATATATATATATATATATATATATATATATATATATATATATATAATGTCTATATGTACACATATACATATATATGCGTGTATTTATTTATTTATTTATATGATAAAAAATGTGACCATCACCATTACAAACTCCTGCCTACGTCATTGGCTATTGCTTCAGTTTCTGTTTATGTCAACATTTTCATTAAAGCTACAATCGCCTCAGAAAGCTTTACGTTTGCAAACTTTGAGTGCAACCCGCTGCTATAATTGTAATAGCTGTTAAAAGCTGGAGGAAATGGTCGGCAACGATAATCGGATTCCGACGCTCAGGAAATATCCTGACAAGGCGTCACGCCCGAACGATTTTCATGCAAACCTGTCACGCCTAAACGCTTTTTCACACACAAAAACCCTGACATTTCACGCAGGCAAAACGCGTTTTACTTTCCTTGATTAATGTCAATAGCTTTCACATTTGATCAACATTTAAATCATTTTGTCTGTGTTGGGTGGGTTATTTAAATGTAACAATAAAAAAAAAGTTCAGCGTTGAATAATGTAGCTTCTATAAGTGAGAGCATTTTTGGTAAATGTTTTCAAAATGTTGCTGCTATCAAGGTTATTCCCTGTCTTAGGCATGATTTTAAATGTTAGAATTCAATTGAATTTCAATTGAGCTTACGTGTTTTTTTTTTTTAAATCAGCATTTAAGGGACTGAACGATTCTTATAAAAATTTACAATCCACAAAACCCAATTAACGAATCGAACCCGTCATGTAAAATTACTAAATGCTACAACAAACACTTAAGGGATTGGAACAGTCTTACACAAAGTACTAATTCCCACGATACTCACTTGTAGTAGGGATTAAGCAATTTTTGTGAAAGTACTAAAACCCACAACACATTTTTAAAATATTAAATAATTTGTATACAAAGTTATACAGCCCACAGCATCCACTTGTAATAGGGATTGAGCAGTTCTTTTTGAAAGTACTACAGCCCACAAGCCCACATCACACATTGATAAATTCTCATACAAAGTACTACAGCCTACAACACACATTGAACAATTCTCATACAAAGTACAACAGCCCACATAACACATTGAACAATTCTCATACAAAGTACTACAGCCTACAACACCCACCACGTATATGATCACACACCACGCTTACTCTTTACCGCTTAGAACATGATCAATTATAAGTAAGACAATTAAACACCGTTAAAGGCCTCTTGAGTATTTCTAAATCGTAACAGCTTCAATTATTAAGTCCATTTAACCCTTTAAACGTGAACAAGGCTGCCAATTGAAGCATTCGTGTTAATGGCTGCGCTAATAAGCCGGTCATTGAAAAGGATGAATGTACATCTCCCTTATAAACTCCTCTTGCTTGTTGCTTTCAACATCATTAGCATACGTAGGAATTGGTCCTCTGGGATGTATTTATATGTGCGTGTTTGCTTGTGTTAATTTATTTATGAAAAAAAAATATAAATGGACATTTTTAAACCTCCTCTATATAAATATACTCCATGACGATATTAGGAATGTACAATTGTTATTTTTATGTCAAGCAACATTATTGAAACGATAAATGTAAAGCGTCTAAAGCGCAAGGTTGCCAATAAACAGTAATTTATCGCGAGATAATCTTCGCTTTAGGGTCCATGGTGGTAGGTTTCTAACCTATCTCTGCATATCACCCCCCTGCTTACGCTTCTGGTGAATGGGTATAAGACTAACCGCATATACATCGACCAACAGTCGCTTCGTAGTTCAGCAACTCGCAAGCTAATTCAAAATTCGCATATGGGCTGATGTGCGTTCCATTATTGAGGAGCAATGCGGTAGGTAAAAATCAGCGAGCCAGTGGCCGTCAGGGAGCGAGAGGTTCGGCTTAGGGGGAGGAGAATATTTGAAGAAATCAATTTTAAGATGATGAGACCGGCGCTGGTTGAATGAATCGGGTATTACATGGGGGTTCTCGAGATTGCAAATGTTAACGCGTTGATTTAGTTATATAAAAAAGAGATAGGGCCTATACATATGTATGCGTGTGTGTCGTTGATTTCTTCTCACAGATGAAATAGAAAAAAAAATATTTTAAATTTACCAGTGCCAGGAAGTTTTAATACCACCCTCCCCAACCCACCGGAAATTTCAAAAATCCCATCTGGAGAGAAAAAAAAACTAGAATAAACACTGGACAACTCCATGGCCTACGGTTGCCAACTATAAAACGCAAAGGTCACTACTGCACAACGGCGAATACTGCGATTTAATTAACCCCGAGGGACTCCTGGCTGAAGCTATTTAGAATGAGAGCAAAATGTGCTACATTGTGACACATAAGATAAGAGCAATAAGGGCATCCTTCTTTACGGCCTCGGTCGATAAAGCCCCCAACAATATAACTAGTATTCATCTCAGTACAACTGTAGCTATGTTTTGCCTTACCATAACTTAATAGCTGAACTCAATTACGGCCACGCTTTTGTTATGATCGATTCCAGAAACAGGTTCCCAACATCGAATTGAAGAAATTTTTAATATTTTTTAGTCCCTAAATTTTAATTCAAAATTGCGGCGTTATAGTTATATAGTTAGAGGCTCCTATAGTAATAGTATTCAATCGCTCAGCTTAAACCTTCCTCATTCTCAGCTGAGCTGTTCTAAACGGTGGGACAATTATTTCATGTCTAATTTTCTCCTTCAATGCTAAACTAATTAAGACACGCTGACCTCAATCTAGAGAACTGCTCAATAACTTTTTTTCCACAGAAACTGGTCTCTCGGAAGCACTACAAACCAGTATAATTAACGTCCCATTGTAATAGTTTTTATTTATTTCGGTATTATTATTTTTTATCTTCTTCATTTAAACACATGCAAATACTAGTGGAATGACGGTGTATTTTTGTGTTACACAATCTTAGCGAAATTGCACGTAATCAACATCTTCATTAAAGTCGTTCTGTCT